CACACACACACACACACACATACTCTCTTAGATCACTTAGCTGGTGTGAACATGGGAGTAGACAGAGGAAAGGGAGCTGTCCAACACGGCTAGAGTTTATGTTCACAGGAGCCGTCTGTCTGTTCTGCAGCGGCAGGAATTCATAGGGACCAAATTACATTAAAAAGATGGATATAAAACTTTAATGGAATGATAAAAAGGAAAGGAGGAAGCGTGGGTCTCTCTCTTTCTCTGTTCTGTCATTAGCCCTCTCTTTTCTTCTCTTCCTCTTTTTTTCTTCCTTTAGTTCCTCATTTTACCTTTTTCTCTCTTCATTTTTCTCTCTTCACTTTTTCCACTCCATTTCTTATGTTATTTTTCCTCTGCCCTCGTAAGAAGTGAAAGCAATTCTGTGCTCAAAAGCAAAAAAGATGGAAAGACAGAGTTGGAGGAAGAAGGAGGTAGAGCATGAGAGAAGGAGAAAGATGGAAGAAAACAGGTGAAACAAACATAGTGTGGAAAATATGGATAAAACGACAATGAAATAAAACAAATATTTGGATCCCTATTGTTAATAAAGGTCAACAAAAATGGAAACCTCGCAAGGTTACAGCTCACACTTACAGATAAGTTCAGAAGGATGTCTTCAAAAGGAGTAAAACCGAAGAACAACAACGCTACAAAGGGTGAGTACGTATGTTAAGATCTAATGTATGTGTCACTTGAGCATGTGTCAGAGTTTAGGAGTACGTCGCTGTTTTTCCGAGAGACAGAACTGCACGTATGGATTTCACCAAAGTGAAACAACAAAAATGAAACCGACACTATTAGCCTCGCTGAGTCACCCCAAATGAAATGCAAAAGGTTGTCATTTTTTTCTAGTGTATCAGAGAGGAGATTAGGAGAGGAATGTAGCCTTTCCTCTTACTGCCAAGATGACAAGAAGATGGTTTACGGTGACAAATTACACATCAGGGCTCGGAAAATCCAATCTGGCTGCACTTAGCTTCCTCCCATCATAGGTTTAAATCCCTTTTTATTACGAACTTCCATACCTATCGTATATTGTGTTTTTACGGTAAAAGAATTTTAATGCATATTTAAAAATATACATTTTCACATTTAGATAATATAGATTTGAAGATTCACCTGAAATATGTGACAATACAAGTAATTATTTGAAGACACAAAGAAGCCGTGTACAACTGACTGCCATCATGACGTGAAAAGAGGATTCCTCCGTTACATGTTAAAGTAAATGAATGAACAAATGAAACAATACCATTTCTATGGCTGCTTCCCTTCAGTGGTTGCAGGTTCAGATGCATCCCACTGACGTGTGTTGCACATCTGCAAAGATTTTATGATTGTATGTTGTTTTTTGTGGGGATTTGTGTTATTAATAAGGAGAACACAGGCATGTACGACACATGTTCTCAGTGTGTGTTTGTGCCCGGGAGCGGCAGAGGAGGAGGGGGGATGGAGGTCTGAAAGATGGAGCACGGTCTGATTGACTGGACGCAACTATTACACTTCACACACACCCAACAGAAAAAGAGAGGCTCATACGTGTTTTCATTTTAACACCAGTGTACACCCAACATGAAACACAAGTACTGTCCACGTTATCTACTGCTGCTGCTGCTGAGTTGGAAAAAAATGTGTAACAAAAACTCACTGCCTTTGAGAGTGTGTGTGTGTGTGAGTATATGTGTCAGTATGTGTGTGTGTTTGCTAGAGGAAATTCAATTCTGCATAGCAATGAGAAAAGCACAGGGCCATAATTTAATGCATCCTAAATGTCTGCAATTGTGTGTGTCTGAATGGGTGTGTGCACGCATCAGTCTGCGAGCAACTGAGCTTGTACTGATGTGAATGTGTATGTATACATACGCCGCACATGCATGAGGACATGTTTTGTACACATTTCTGTGTGTGTACATGCGCGTGTATCAATGTATGCAAATCTCAGCTGCTTAATGATAATGTATGTGATAATAGCGTGGTACTAATTAATTTATAACTTTGCACTGAGGAGGCTGTTCCAGTGGCTAATATGATTCTATTACAGCAATTAGCCCACAATGACACTGGCTAGGTCACTCACACACAGACACACACCTTACAGTATGCAAATCTCACCCTGACAGTGTGTTTCACCCAGCCCCTGCTCGTGCCCGTGTTTCCACCACCGTCTTCAGTTTTATATGTTTTGTCTCTCATTACTATTGTCTTGATCGTACTGACCACCTCCACTAACAGCGAGAAATCAATACACCTTTAGAAATAAAACCTCAGGCGCTTTCAATAAAAGAAAACTGGGCAAAGGCTCCGTCTTTCACATCACAGGCCATATGTTTATTGTGTGTCTATTGTTTAGATCTGTCAGACTCCTTGAGTTTAACTTCCACGCAGCAGCGCTGACGGCTAAGTGACGACGGAGGCCACCTAACCACTAGCTGCCACCTCACAGCCAGTCAACTTGAAAAACTTGGCAGGGCTGCTGACATAAGCAGCACAATGCAATATGAAGAAGCCACTGCCAACAGGTAACCTTCTGAGCAACAGTATAGCAGCTTCTCTGACCCAACAACTCTTTATTTATGGCTGCCACAGGAACTACTACTATGTTTTCATTTGTTAACAGCATTTCTCTTGCTGCATTGTCAGTGAGCACTGGAACCGTGTGTGTAAACTCACGCATCTGGGAGCAACAAGTATGTAAAGTTTAGCACTTGTGTGTGTGTGTGTGTGTGTGTGTGTGTGTGTGTGTGTGTGTGTGTGCGTGTGTGTGTACTTACTATCCTCTGCAGTGCGCAGGGTTGCCCAGGGGCCAGCTGTCTGTCCATGTGTGTGCGAAACCACCACTCTAAACAGGTGCTGCGTGTACGGTGACAATCCCTCTACATAATAGGAAAAGGTGTCTGTTGCATTTTCCATAAGCCTAGGATTGAACGGACACAAACACAAATACATTTACTGACGTACACTGTTGATCTGGACAAAACGGATACAGCTCTTAACACGTGGATAAAGAGGAAGTTTTTAAAATGCTGGTTTAGTACCTGCCACGTTCAAGTCTATCACGATTGTGCAAAACTTCCCATGCAGCATCGCAGATCAGTCAGCAGATCTGAAAATGTGGTTCGTACAACCACATTTTCTGTCAACAGAATTTTTTCCTGGCAATGATGTTTTAACATTAACATTTAGCAGCTTCTTAATTTCCACCATTGACCAAATGCTTCCTCTTCCAACTTCATCCGTCATCTCTTGTTTTGCTCTTTAATGCCTAATTATGGAGATTCAGCACTGGACAGCTCCGCAGAGTGTGCTTTATGCAGAAGCAGCTTCTGTGGGCAACTGATGCAATGTCTACGTGGCACGTAGTGATTAAAGCGACATTTGCTAGACTGCAGATTTTTTGTTGCACTAAATTTTCATACAGATCAGATCCCTGCTCTCTGCTGATAGTATAAACTGAGCAATTTTGGTGCATTCAGCCTCTTTTAGTGTACACAGAGCGACAATTACAGGATTAGTGGTGTGGAAATCCTAGAGGTGAAAAAGGAGAAAAAATAGATCAAAACAGCGACAAAGTATTTACTTCGGGTTCAGGAAGAAAAGGTTACCTGCGTGGGACAGAATTGTACGGAACATTTAGTGTTCAGAAATCGGTGAGGCTGCTGTACTTTTTTTTTTTTCTGAAAATGGAAAAGTCTCGGTGTTACTTTGAGAAAACAACCTGTTGTATCTATTTGAGGTATTTGAAAATCTTTGCTCTAAATTAATTATATTTAAAGTGTGATGTTATAAAAGTATCACTAGACAAGTTTCATATCATCACTTAACAGTAACCATCTTTGTAATATGCACATTTTTTTTTCCTCCACAGCTTTTTATCCTATTCCCATGTCATACCTGATCCCATATCATATAATCATACAAAGGAATCTAGGACAAAGTAAAAGAATATTGTCATAAATGAGGGACCGTTGACCATTTAGCATCAGATGGATAGAAGGGATGAATGAATGAATAAATCAGGGAACAATGAGATTTCCATAGCAGAGGAGGAGGAGGGCATGGCTGTCTGATATATAATACATGTAGCTAGTCATTTATTTATTACCACAGAATGAGAGCCTCCTCTTCTTGGATTAAATTGCAATTTGTTGTCAGGAAGCATGTAATGAATACATATCAGATGCACACCCTCTCTCTCTTTTTATTCTATCACATTTTCTCTACCTCTCTCGCTCCCTCTTCCCTGTCTTTGATTTTTTGTCTTTTTGACTCTACCCCCTGTCTCCCTGCTTCATTCCCTCTCTGTGTTTCTGATGGTCTGTCATATTGATGTGACATATTCAGCTGTGCTGTATAATGTGCCCCTTTGTATGTACATGTGTATGCATATGTGTGCATTCACGTTTTTAGGTAGATATGTATATGATGTGCATCTGAGAGGGTTGTACCATTCCCTGCTGTTTCATATCACACGTCTCCGTCTCAGACAACTTTCACTTGTTGTCTGAAAACTTGTCCACTCGCTCGTGTGCTGTGTCTGGGTTTTTCACGGTCTCTCTCACCTTATGACAGGCCTCTGTGGGGATGTCCTCATTTGCAGGCTGTAGTAAAGTGGGCCTGGTGCGTTGGAGTTAGCAGGGGCGGACCAGGATACATTCAGACTGGCGTTCGTTGCATAGACCAAAGTTGGAGGAGACAAACCATCTGGGGCTAAGAAGAGAGAAAAGACAGTGAGAGGAGGATGGACAGAGAGAGTAACGAAGGTAAGAGCAGGGGTGGTGAGGAAGAGAGGGAATATAAAAAGATGTTCAGAAGGAAAGAGAGGAAGAAGAATAAAATACAATGAAAAAGTCTATTAATTTCATATTGGAAATATTATTTGCTTAATCAACTGCGACTCTAAGCAATGACTCTGCTTAGGATAAAAAGATTTTAAAAAAGAGGACAAAAAGAAGAGAGAGGAGGCAGGAGTGAAGAGCAACAAGGGGAGGACAAAAGAGGAAAAAAGCATGACGGCAAAAGAAAGAACTACTCTTTTTAATGGAGGGGTGAGAACGCCACAAAAAGCCACCAGATGTACTGACACACAACCACGCCGTCTCTTTCTCCTTCACACCCACACATGCACACGTACACAGTGTTATAACCCCTACGCTCTCAAAAGTGCGCCTCTTTTCCAGCTGAGCACAAGAGTATAGTGTTAGTGTTGGAAAATCAGTAAAAAACATCTTTATTCAGTATGATAGCAGTGCTCTCAACGGAAACGGAGAAGATGTGAGGGAAAAAAAAAAAAACAGGCCGAGAGAGAGAGGTAGAGAAAGGACAACAAACACGAGGAGAAAATCAGAGGGACCACAGTGTTGACTATGTGAAATGAGAGCAGGCCCTCTGATGTATAAAGTGACCCTTCAATCAAACATTGCTCTCGTTCCACTACGACATGACTGATTGCTGCAGACATCTTATCCTAAAGATGGCTTACAAACACACACACAGACACACACACGCACGCAGTATGTGAGGAAAAGCCTCAGACTGCTCTTTTAGTGTGGAATTAGAATATCAGTGTTGTTTCTGCAACATGAATCCCCATGCTAATATACATTCATTGTTGTAATACACACACAGAAACACATATTTTAAAAACAAAACAAAAGACTCAACCTGTCAGTGTGTTTGCATGTGTGTGTATAAGTCATTTGATGATTTTCGTTTAAGGCCCACCAACCTGTGACACCGTTTGCAGTGTTGTCACTACTCATATGTCCAGTTTCCCCTATTGTCCTATTTCTTATCAATGTTATTTTTATAGAAGGACAGCTTCGACGACAGAAACACAAAGAGTTTTGAAGCAGGACTCGACTATGAGTTGGCCTAATGATATCAAGTTTAACCTGTCTGTATCTGCTTCATATAAACTGTACCATCAGCCAGAGCTGGTGCCACTCCATAACTAGAAGTACTGCAAACTTAACGATTGCAAATTTGATTTAATTTTTCATGTTCTTATGCGCGTACAGGTTTCTACAGCTAAAAAAGAAAATTGATAAATTACCGGATCAGTAAGACAAATCTACAGCTGAATTTTAATACATGAAATCCTCTGATCCCCGTCCCGACATTCTACATTTCAGTGAAGACCCAGTCGTAGATGAGCAGAATGGTCATTGCCGGAGTGTGTGCATGTCTGTCTCTGACACACACACAGACATGCACACACAAAACACATACATCACAAAGACACACACTGTTGGTGAGCCTGTGTCTCTCTCATGCTGTGTTAGCAGGTACAATATCAGAGGTGTCACTAATCGTTTTAAACTATGCACTTTTATGTTCACTTCTCTCTCTCTGCTCTCCTCCTCCTCTGCTCTTCTGTCTCTTGCTCCGCTATCTTCTCTCTGTTCTTTCATAGAACAAGGACGCATCAAGACAGTTTGCCTTAAAGAAGTCTAAAGAGATGCCAGAGGCACAGAGGTAGAAAGAGAGATAGAAAGAGAGGAAACGTCTGGTATTTAAAATTTATACTTTCTTATGCCTTTGTTTTGAACTTGAACAGCAGAACTTTCCTAAGTCTGTCTTTTGTTGTTCTCTGACTAAGACATGGGTGTGGCGTGTGCGAAGGTGCATGTATTCAACACTTTTGGAAAACGTGAGCTAAAGTGATAAAATGTGTGTTTCTAGATTTGTATGTGTGTGTGTGTGTGTGTGTTACTGCTTAGTTACCATTATCTCCAGACTGCTCTGATCAGCTGTGACATTTATCAGTATGCACAATCAGTCTCTATCTACACAATTACAAACACGCACACACACAGTCTGTGTAAATGAGAAATATGTGTTCAGACCGTCAAGTAAAGTCAATGATGTGTGTGTTTGTGTTTGTTACTGCTTCTGTGAGTAATAGCTGTTGTTTTTTTTTGTTTTTTTGCAAAGCAAGTTATAAAAATGAACCTTTACAGTTCAGGAGAATAACAATTAAAATCAGAGTAATGAGAAAAATGTTACCGTAGTTCAAGTCTTGTGTGTAGAGTTAGAAACAAACCTACAATTACAGCCATTTAATTAAGAAAATACACAATTTAAACATGTCTTATTATAATAAAGGCCATGTTATCATCCTCAGTTGTCTTCTGAGGAGGTAAACTCCTGTTTCTAGGAGATGTGAATGTCATGATTTAGTCATTCAGTAAAAAAAAAAAGACAGGGATGTTAAAACCGAAGCAAAAACATCACCTCTGATTTTACAACCAACTGGGAGTTAAAACCATATACATTCGAATAATGCTACATAGAATTTACAATGTGATTATTAACTACTGTTAGCTTAGTCTAGAAAAGTAAAAGCCATTTCACATCATTTTGTCTAATTGTTTACTTGAGATACAGTCCCACACTGACTGTATGTTTGAACGTTTCCTACATCCGACTGCCAAAATACACCACAAGCTGCCAAGTCAGGATTGGGTATGTTCTGAAACCACTAGATCATAATAATTAAGCCATAATTAAGGCATGAATTTGCACAATAGTGACAGGTAATTGCAATAACGATGAATAAGATTCAGGAGTTTGGAAATATTGCAGCATTATCGTGTACCTCATCATTTGTAAAGACAAGTTGTGTCAAGATTTCTAATCTGTAAGGTATGAACTGGCGGTGGTGGGAAAACCTTTATTGTATCAGTGTGAGTACCTGCTGGGGGTGTAGTAACACTGAGGGGGAGGCTCTCAACACAACCCTGCGTGTTGCACCCTCTGATCCAGAAGCTGTAGTTAGTGTACGGCTGCAGGTCAGTCACAGACAACCAGATGCCTGCTGCTGTACTTCCGTCCAACACAGTCTCACCATCTAAGAGACAAAGACAAGGAAACAGGTCTAAGGCCGAGCATTTCTTCATTTGAGTCCTCGCAGTCGTCCTACTATATACATCTATACATCTCTCTGTCTCTCTACATATACAAAGTACAAAAAAGGCAAAAGAAAGACAGAGAAAGAGTTCACGAGAGAGAAACACGGTCTGATATTAAGTGAGAGTGATCAAAAGAGAGAGGCCTCCATATTGAGGTTATGCAAGGATAGTCAAAGAAAAAGGATCAGAAAATTACACTATGTAAGCCTATCCAATACATTTAGATGGACACACACACGCAAACACAAGTGGGTTCTGTGTGAACTGATGAAGGCAGTTTGTATCAAAGAAACAAGGAGTTATGGGTAACTAGAGCGAAACACCATCCCTCTCTTTCTTCCACACCTCTTCTATCCTGCTCTCCACTCATTTTCATCTGTCGGTTCCTCTGTGAGGCGCAGATCAAAGTCCTTGACTGCGTGTGTGTGTGTGTGTGTGACGGCGAGACTTGGTGAATATGCTGAAGTTAAAGAATGAGTGTGTGTGTGTGTGTGTGTGTGTGTGTTCAAATCCTTCTTCCTCTTTTCTTTCCATGTCCAGCTCTTCTGTTCTATTTTGTTGGTCCTCTCCACGGTTTTGTAGTTCTTTATGTCTGTCGTTGTTTACACTTGCAATCTTTTTTAATACATCTATGGTAATATGAGCGTCTCATCTCCCCTTTCTCTATATACTATTGTTTCACTGCCACTCCTCTTTGTTCTTCCTTCCATCTTCTGTTTTTGCTCAGCACTCCTACATCAGCTTCGCTCTCAAGTCCCCGCCAATATCAAAAAAAACTTGCCTTTTCTTTATCACTCCGGTTTGATTGCTCCTTCTTTCAACCTCCCATTTCATGCCCGACTTTCAGTGTAAGTTTGCTTTTCTGTTGAGGAGTCTGACTGTGTGGGTGTACTTATGTTTCCACCTATATCCATATCTTCTTGTTCTATTCATTTTAAAAAAAAAACTTTTTAGTCCCCAAAACTGCTTAAAATTGGTAATAATATAGTGTTCACAGGAAAGCAGCATAAAACTCTGTATTATGACGTGTCATAGAATTTGTCAGCCGCTGAAACCCAAAGCACTATTTTCATGGTTCAAATCTATTTCTGTATGTTTTATTCACAGAACTACAGTGATTCTGGTGTTTGGCTTTGAGCACTTTCAAAATATGTGAAAATACAGCCAGGGGATACTTGGCAATAGTCGTCTCTACATTTTCCAACTTAGATTTATGTCTGCTCGATGGGTAAACGTTGTATAAATGAAGTTAAAAATATACAAATAAAAAAGCAGTACATGTTACTCTACATTTGTTGGCTAGTAAGTATGCAAAACTGTGCATTACCTGTAAATATTCAGCTTGTTGTAGTTGTATATGTGTACTGCTGTGTGTGTGTGTGTTACGGTTTTATGTTCACGTGGTGAGAATGGCTGCATGTGTCACCTTTGCTTTTGCAGTACAGTGTGTAGCTCAGGTTCCCATTCGGTCTAGGAGGGGCTGTCCAGCGGGCTCGGAGTGATCTGGAGCTCTGATTGGTCAGCTCCAGCAATATGGGGCCTTCTGGGGCCATCTCTAATGTACGCATCTCCACCTGATTGAAAGAAAAAAACCCACAAACACTCTTATGTTTAAATGCACAGACGAACAGACATGGAGCACAAACAAACCACAGACGCATTTTATCCTTTTTTAACTGCAGTTCTGCTCACACTCATCCATCCAAATGCTATATGTGAAATATAAAAACATATAATAAAATCTGCCCCTCTTTGAAAAGGGTCATAATCATGGTGATACATTTCACTGAGTGGATTACTTATGACGTTAAAATTTAACAGTTTAAAATGAAACCGCTACACACAGCTGGTCTGCATTATCCCTGCCTCTGGTTTCTCATTCTCTTCCTTCTTTCTTCCTCTCCTGCTGCATTCCTTTCATGTTTTCCACTCACATCTACTCCTCTCTTTCCACCATTGCAATCTTCTTCTGTCTCATTTCTTCCAGTCCCGCTCTCCTGTTACCCTCTCCTCTGCTGCCCTTTGCATCCTTTCCACCTCATCTCTCACTTTGTTCTGACCATTTACTCCATCCTCATCATTTTGCTCTTTTATCCCCTAAATTCCCTCCTTCCCCCGACTCCTTTCTTCTCCTTTTTCCCACCCATCCTGTCATCTCTTCCTCTTTTCCCTCTTCATCCTGTTTTACCCCGCTCGCCGACCCACCCTCCTCTCCTCTTGTTCTGCTGTGTCAGCTGTTCTCCTGGTGTTTGACTAAACATGGCGTCTGTATTGGAAAAATGCCCCAAAATATGGCCTGTCGTCTGAGACGTCGTTGAGCATGGAGTGGCATTTCCTACCAAATGTCACTGTCGCCACGCCAACCCTCGTTATTGAGCCGAGAAAATCGATCACCTTTATGACGCCCGGTGACACACGCGCACACGCAAGGCACATGCACACACAACACACACAATGTCGTACATGTCTGAGGCGCCGTTCCCACATGGGCCCCTGTTTTTGTGTGTTAGTTACAGCAATAATCCGCTTCACGAAAATATCTATTTTTCTGTTTTGGCTGTTTTATTTCACCGGCTGACGTGACATGATTTCTGAAGAAAGGGTTTTATGAGGCTTTTGCTGCTATAATTACCTAATTTTGGTTTGAAGAACAATGATTTCTATTGTAGAAGAGTTTTATGTATTGTATGCATTTGGTTGCGACTACAGATTATGGGGGAAATACTGTACAGCAAGAGTCTGAGAAGTAAGCTCTGATAGCAAAACAGAAAGTTTCTCCATACATTTAAAAAGTAATCTTGAGTTAGTATAACAAACACTTCAATGACAAAGTATCTTGCAATTTTCTGCGACTGTGTGTGTGTCTTCCAGTGAGCGATTCACTGACCATTGGTCCTTTGCCACAGCCCTGTGCTGTGCAGGCCTGCAGCCTGAGAACGTGTCGGCTCCACGGAGAGAGTCCCTCCACAACGAAGAACCTCTGGGAGGAACTGGAGTTTAAGATGAGGACTCCATCCAGCCAAAGACCGTAGCTGGTTATAATGCCTGTCAAAAGGACACGTCTGATTATGACATGCAGCACATAGAGGACAAAGATAAAAATGATGAAAGCAGGCAGTTTATTGATACAGAGGGAATGGCAGGGTACTAACATCTGGAGCTGTCCTCCGTTTTAGCATCTATTGTGTCCATGAGTTACTTTGCACAGCACCACATTGTCTTTCCATGTGACTGCCTGCATTCTCTGCCCTGAACCACCTGTGTCCAAGTCCGAAGAAAACGTTCACTTTCTTTGATCATTCAGCAACGCCACACATTCACTTTCGCAGAAGATGTTCAGCAGATTTTCAGAACATGTCCAAATACTGTTTTTGGAGGGGAGGGGGTAGTATTCACAACTGGTTTGCATTGGCCACTTAAATACTAAAGGAATGTGTCCAGACAATCACAACGTGAGCTTTTCTATACTGGGATGCGGTCTGGGTCACTTGGATTACAATGCAAATGAAAACCGACTTAAGGGCTCCAGACCTGCCAGTCAGTGTGTCCTAGAGTGGTCCAATGATGAAAACAGCACCGAAATGACAAATGTAACCATAGGCGTTAGGAGGATAAAGGCCCTGAGAAGGACAGTAGTGCTAGAGTGAACACACACACAGAAATGAGGGTGCAAATAGGTGCACATGCCACAGACGCACACATATGCACAAAGACACACATTTAGATGGGAGCTCACACATACATGCTCACACACATACATCAGCACAATAATTACATTACATTACACCCACCTAATAAAAAAAAAAAAAATGAAACAGCACGGTGACAAATGTGCTTTTCCTTAATAAAAATGCATACAGGGGGCTCAAAAGATCAGTGCTAAGAACTAAGAGTCTATTCTGCTTTAATCATGTGTGGGTTTTATTATTGCTCAATACAGATATACACACCTATCAGGGAAATGAAGACACAAAAACCCCACGGACGCAAGCTACATCTGGGAAGCTCTTAATGTGGCCAATCACATGCGTGTGAGTGTGTGTGTGTGTGTGTGTGTGTGCGGACATCTGTATGTGCTTGTGTGAGTGTGTGTGTGTGTGTGTGTGTGTATAAGCCCATATCAGTATAGGTTGTAATAAAGACAGGTTGGGAAATGAAGCAGCGAATGCATAACAGGCTTATTTCCCCTCTTTGTCTGCGTGTTGCCCCGACCTAATCCCCGAGAGGATTATCCCCCACAAATCCCTGCGGAATTGGGGAGAAGGGGGAGAGAGAGAGAGAGAGAGAGAGAGAAAGAGAGAGAGAGAGGATGAGAGAGAGAGAGAAAAATAACACAGGATCTCACTCCTCTGGAACCATCGCCATCGTCATTGTTGCCATCCATTTATATTAAAAAAAAAAAAAGAAAGGATTCAATGAAAAAAAAAAAAAAAGCCACTGAGCTCTTCTTCCTTTTAAAGCAAAAATTAAAGCTTTTTAAGCATGAGATAATCGGGTAATCATGATTAAGTGTCTCCCTTGTTATAAATTTCTGTCATCAGATGAGAAAAGCTTTAAGTAATTTATCCAGGCTAATATGCACACACATCACAGGGTTTATGGTGCAAAATGCACTCATGTGGCATTAAGCGTAAAACACACATGATCCACATCACACACACACACACACACACACACACACGTTATGGAATTACACATACTTTAACGAGCATGACAGTAACATTTGATAATATGTGCCAGTGCGTTGTATGTTGGAGACTGTGAAATGGGGTGGGAAATCCTCACATCGCTTAATTAATTTGGATTCATGAGATATACTATTTGTTAATAAAGTCCTTGATAATTCATGTCAGTGTTTTAGTTGCAAATAATACACAATTCTTCCTTTGAAAGTTTTACTAAGACACAGAAGAGCATCTATTTTGCTTGACGTATGGAATGTGCTTTACACAGTTCGTGCAAATTTCAAAATTCTACGTTTCGCTGCCCCTTTTAAAGTATTTTTAGGGTATTTTTGTGCCTTTATTACAGAAAGCTTTTCACCCTACACTGGCACGTTTACAGTGACGCTGATTAATGTACATTACCTGTGAAAAAACAAATAAACAGCAAACATTGGCTGAAGGTTGAAGAAGTGCATCCAAGATCCTCAACCAGCTCAATCGGGTGAAGCAGAAGTTATATCGATACCCTTAAAACATGGGACGAACCATGTTTCATTTTTTTTCTGAGGTATTTTTAAAAGATTTACTTTGAACTCAGATTTAACATACACAGCGTATATCTCACTGAAACAGAGTTTAAAACAAGGTGAAAGGAAGATGTGGTCCTTCCCTTTAGCAAGATTATGACGTATGTATGAATTTAAATACATCAAAATGTTGATGTATTACCAGCAACACAGATAGACGCATACCGATTGATTATGGCTCACTACTTGCAATTACTTACAGAAAACTTAAGAGAATATTTTGTAATTACACCGTATTGTGCAGGAAACTCTTCTTCTGAAAAGTTTAAATCACTCAGTCTCAATCCAGTTGGATTCCAAGTAAACATCCAATAAATGTGACAAACACCTTGGTCCAGCTCTGTGTAACAGATTAAAACTGTTGTGCAGCTAAATTAGATAAAGAAGGCAAGAAGAACAGAGAAAACTGAGAGAGAAAAGCAGTCACTGTGAGTCTATGTGCTTCCAGCCTGCAGTTCTCTCTTCAGTCAAAAGGGAGCACTTTTCATCCACTTAAAGGAGCTCGGCGAAGCACTGCCCTCTCACTCCCGGTCGCTGTTAGTCTCGATCTCAAATTGTTTGTTCTCTCACCCTGTCTCTTTCCCCTTTCTTTCTGAGTCCTTTATGCCCTCTCCTTTTAGTTCCTATTTCTGTTTCCCTTTTTTTCTTTTCCTCTACCTGTTTTATCTGTGTCTCTTGCAGACTCATCTGATTCTCCTCACACAAAGGGAAACGCTGCCCTGTTTCACAGTAACATGGACAGCATCCTTGAACCGTGCACTGTACAGGTCTTCATGTCTGTGAGTTCTGGCACAGGCTGCGATTACAGTAAATATCAACAAACTGAATTCAGTTCTACAGGTCAACTCGTGTCACGTGCGGTTATCTTCATCGGGATATCGCCGCTCTTTTTCCAAATGTGTTATTTGTTCTTGGTTTCAAATCAATTCACTATAGCTAGAAAAATGTCATTAAAAAAAAAAACATTGGACGAATGATTGACAGCTTGTTTGTGTTTATATGTATTTAGTTCAAATCTCACATTATACTCACTTCTGATAAATGTTTATGCATAACTGATTTTTTTTTTTTTTTTGGCTGGGTATCTATCTGTGTATGAGGAAGTGTGCACCCTCTCACCATTCGGAGTGTCAGGAGGAGTCCAGCTGACGTTGAGTGCATGTGGGGACAAAGGGGTGACCAGCGGTGCAGGGACATTCTCTGGGGTGCTCTCCTCAGTCTGAGCCTGGCTTGGGGGGCTTAATGTGCACCCGCCTCCTGTGCAGGCCTGACACATACACACACACACACACAAATGAATGTAAGGATGGCTGTGACTTTAAAGTTGAAAAAAAAAAAAGAAGACGGAGCACAGAACTCACAGCCAGGGTGATGGTGTAAGTTGTTCCAGGAGTTAGGTTGCGGAGTGTGTGGTCCTCAAAAAGTTCAGAGCTGTTATAGGCCAGCACGGGCTCTGCACCGTCATGTGACAGGAAGATGGCGTAAAACTCCAAAACGCCATTTATCTGAGCGGGACTTGACCACCTGGAAAGAGAGAGAAGAATAAGCAGAGAGTGAAAATAAATGTACTACTAGAACATTACTTTATCATCCTCCTTTATGGTATTTCAGAGTGGACTATATGCAATACATTGTCAGAATATCCCCTAATTATCTGACTAACTGTAAGGCTGATGTTACTTAACCTTTAGTATTCCTCTCAACACACCAAAACTACCAACTTATACTACAGGCAAGTTTTTTCCCTGGTAAACTCAAGCCTGCTATAGTGTATGTCTTATTAAAATGGCACTAAAACTGAGAAAACCCCCACAAAAGAGACACACCACTGCTTCGGTTCATATACATCTTACTTGTGGTGCACATGCATATTTAGCTGTGACTTATATTAGCGTAACATTATGATAAAAGGTCTTACGATTTAAATATACACTCCTTCTACTGTTTTAAATATTATGCTCAGTGCCTATAAAAGGTACCTTGAAAGTTTTTATTCCAACACTCAATAATAGTCTGTTTTATATATTGTTTTAAATAAACTTGACACGACTAAAATCTGTTTTCACTTTGATGTGAAAGAACATATCTTTATAAATTCTTGCCAATAAGGCCAAATTAAATTGACCATGATTCAATATTTAAATAAGGAAAAAGGGGAAAACTTCCAAGGTGGGTGAATCCTTTTTATAAGGACTGTATTAAGATCAAAGAGTGCTGAGATCTAATTGGTTGCACACATCAACTTACTGTTTATTATCTACAATCGGCAAAAATTCTACTACCTCTAAAATCGTATGTATACATTGATGGTATATGCACAGGTTTGTACAACGGCGGCTGAAAAAATAAAAGAAGATCGTGACAGAGAGTGAAACACCGGTATGCGCTGGCTTCCTTGGCAGCCCCATTGTCCAATCACTGCATCAGATCGCTTTGTGTATCTGCATGTCAGTGCGCGCAGACACGTGTGTGCTTTTATCACTGTGTTTCCATCTGCGAGTAGACGAAAACACAAAGCCAAGCTGTGGTTCCTTACAGACGCACACACACACACACTGTACACACAGCTTCCTTTGTCAGGTAGAGGTGTCTCCTTTTCTATATTTAGAACAGGAAGGTCATCCCCAGCAGAGAGAGGGAGAAGACCAGAGACAGTTTTAGAAACAGGAATGTGTCGACTATCCATTACAAAATATTAAAATGGCGAGGCTGGTAGGAAATGTACAGAACAAAATCCAGTTTTTGTCTAGTTAATTAATGCTGAACATTTATTGTACCGTGTCTTCTGAGTGGACGGGGAGCTGCTGAACTGCAGTCTGTCTGCTGTCTGTACAAGCAGGATGTGATTTGTGCCTGTTGATGAGATGTTCAAGCTAAAAGAGATGCAGTCAAAAGAAAATCTGCGTTTATTTAAATGTTGTCACTGTTTTGAAACACGGAGGCTCCAGGGCTTAACAGATGAGTTCTGATGGACAATGATACGCTAAAACTATCTGATGGAGTATCCTATGATTTTAAGAATAACCCAGGTTGTAAATAAGTCATAAACAAAGGACCACCAAACTATTTTTTTAAAATAAATTGTCCTGCAATTCTTACAAATCCCAGAGAGTAGCCCAGCCCTCCTGGCATGGTAGCAGAGGGAGGCCATTTTAAAAAGTGATGGATTCCTTTCTTGGTTCCTCCCATTAAAAGCCAGTTTTTGAATGACTGATGAGTGTGTGTTAGCACACAATTAGCCACTGTGGCTAATCTATCACATTTATTATAAGATTTATATGCTGTCGATTGGCAGTGTGATGTATGTCCACTTTTGAAAAACTAAATCAAAGGGGAGTTGTAATAATCTGTATCATAATTCACTGCGGTAATGGTTTTAGAAAACCATTGCTTTTAAAAGTGTGTTATGAAATTAGTGCGAAACAGCCGGGTGCTTTTTAGGCATGTTAAACGTTAAAAATGCGCATTTGAAATGAAGTGTGTTCGAATTCTGCGTTACAGTCGCCTCGCTTTCTGTAACTTTTGTTTTTTCTGGTGCAGATGCTGTTTTCCACCAGTACCATCAAATAACTACTAACAACACATGGATGTCAATGAATTTACTTTGGATTGTGTCAGTTCATCAAGGTAGCTCCAGACCTGTCCTGATCACGTCACGTTTTTGAGTATCTGTGACTGTGCACATGTCCGACAGTGTGCATTCCTGTGTCTGCTAGTCTGTGTATGAATGTTTGAGTCAGGTAGTGTTAGGTGAGGGCAGGGAATAAATCTGCTGATGTTGTTTTGTTCGCATCCTGCAGCCTGCCTCAACCTTTCTCACAGTCTCTCACCCTCATTCTCACATATTCTCTCTCCTTTCCTTTCAGACATTTTTAGACATTCATCCCTACGTTCTTTCCTTTACAACCCACAATTTATCTCTCTCTCCCCCTCTTTCTCTTCGTCTGTCTTTTTTTTTTTCACAGCTGTTTTCTCTCTCTCACACACTTTTCTCAGCTTTTCTCACAGACACAACAGAGTGGTATTGACCAGGTATGATCTCTCAACCTCTACCTATTACCAATGTGCTAACAAGGCAATACACCACCTTCCCACACACACACACACACACTGGTGAATATGTTGTTGAAAACCATTTTGAACGCTTAAGGTTTGATATATTTTCCTTCCTCTCATGGATGCTGTGTTACACCAAGTCATTTCTTTTTAATGCTGTCAAATGTCTACCAACTACAGCTGCACATCAACGACTTCTACAAGGACCTGAACACGATCTTCTGTGGGAAAATCTTTTGTCAGTATGTTTTAACTTTCAATAATTCTGGAGTAGTTATTTCACATTTTACTTCTCTTACAAAACGTTGACTTCCGACCTGCAGATTTGTCTTTCAGCGTTACCGAATGTCATCACTGCTTCCGCTTGAAATTGTCGGTATTACTCTGCGACACTGTTGTTGTTTATTTAGAGGCTCCCAGGTGACGAGACAAAAGATAAGTCTGCCAAACACATTCAGTTTAAGATCTATCATTAAGATTCTTATGCACACAAAAACAAAAACTGTGAATATTTGAACATGAACATGATGGAAAAAAGTGCAGAGATCTATGTTCTATGTCCCTCTAAAGGTGAAAGGTTAAATTCCAGTGATGCTAAAACACGTCCTTTTCTCCACATTGTATTTCAGTCAGATAGCTGACATACAGCTGTTCTTGCAGCTCAAAGATGGCTTTAGTGAAGTTTCTTTGTTATACATGACTGAGTGTTGTGTCATACAGCTTCATAAGCCTACAACGAATGTCCTGTGTGTAAGTCAGCACGTGTCCCCAGCCTATTCTGCACTACACAGACCTGACACTGCAGCAGCTGAGTGTTCTGTCATTATTTACACATGCACAACATGTATCAATGCCCATGTGAGGGTGTGAACTTACTCCACAAAAACAGTCCGAGAGTCTAGCGGGGTAAGAGTCGGAGCTCGTAGAGGCCCAGGAGGAAGCTGTGAGGTCAGCATTGTAACTTGTGAACTGTTGGTGCAGCCCACTGAGGTGCATGCACTCAGTACCATGACATGGGTGGAGTACACACCGAGACCTGTGACACAAACACACAGAGAGAGGCATGAAAACTCACATGAACTCAGTAGCGTCCACCCCCTCTCTCCTTTTAGCGCTGCCGCCTGACTGTCGCTCCTCTTTCAGGGTCTATCTCTGTTTCAAAACTATTCTCCATCTGCCCCACTGTTGCCATCTCACTCTCCGTAACACAATCTATTCTTGCCATACTGAATAATTACAACGTCCATAATCCTTCCAATCACTGTGAACATCAGACACTCTGCATTATTAACCCAGCATGGATGATATGTGCTCTCATGCCTTCATTAACTTACAAAGACACACACGTGCACTGTTGGCCGCTGTGATGTGTTGCAAATCATGTGACCGTGCGTGTAAAATCAAAATAAGTGATAATCTATTCTGCTCATATAAAATGCCATATAAGATGGCTCTCCTGTGTATGTGCCCATATGTGAGTTTGCGTACGTCCCTGCACACAACGTGTCGGCGTACGCTCCGCCGAGAGTGTGTCTTGCGTGTGCGCGTGTCTATTTGCATCCTGGTGAAGCACTCTAGTCTCAGCGGTGTGACATGTGTTTCATACCTTCTTTAGGTCTCTTTAGTGAAAGCTTTCAAAGCAAATTGTGCGTATGCATGTGCGCTAATGTTTAGTTTTCTTTGTTTCTCCGCCGCTTCATTTTCATGTGTGTGTTTAGCCTCCTTTTTCAAAGTGCTATTCCCTTGGTAAGGACTGAGACACTCTTTCCTCTTTCAAATGCTAATCCCCCACTCCATTTTGCTTTTCTTCACTCTTCCCCTTCTCTTTACACCGAGGCCCCATCTCTCCACAGTCACAGCTACACACACACAACATACACACACACACACACACACACACTCGCCGCTCTTTACCAGTGATGTTGTGTTGTCTGTTTTTTCCTCTGTAGACCGTTTGGTCGTTGTGATAGAGGAGGTACTCTGCAATGCCTCCATTGGGCCTATCATTGGAACAAAAAAAGTAAAATGAGGGTAATATTATGAAGGTATATACATCATACGCTATTTTGATGTTAAATTGGATGCTGGGTTCAATCGGCGCATGCTTATTCAAGGTGAAAAAAAAAGTATCACTGTTACACAACATCATTCAGTTTGCGAAAATGCTCATCTTCATTTCACATGTTCTCTTGTAAGTAAGTAGGTCAGAAATTATTAAAATAATTCATTTATAATAACATGTTTTCATTAGGGAAAGTTCTATAAGAGAGGATAAGGTGTGTATTTACAAGGTACACATGTATATATAGTACGAGCTAACATAAAGATGGGATAGATGAGAGTGTGTATTACTTTGCTGGAGGTTCCCAGGAAACATAGAGAGCTGTGGGGGACGACACTGCAGCTGGAGGGAATACAGCTTCTGGAGCTAAAATCACATGAAAACACAAATATACTGTGTGTTACACATATATTGAAACAGTATTGTAAAAATGCAACACATTTTTTTACCAACATCAAAACATTACTATATCAAAGGATATACCTTAGCAGTGAAACAAACTGTAACAAGTTTTACTTTTATAGAGCTTATCATACTATAACCTCAAATGTCACAGATTAATAATTAATCAAATTTCATGTGACATTCAACACTGACAAGGCTTTGGGTAACTTTTCAAAAGACTGCACGCTGGAGGAGAAAAAGTGAAAATTTTATGATCTTATGTTCCTTGATCTTGTGGGGAAAAAAAGGTGCCTGTATTTAAGAATAAGTGAGTGAAAATGTGTCTATACGTTATGTGTTTGTGAATGTTTGGAAGACAGACTTCGGCAATAGAGAGTTCTACATAATTCTTCTTTTCCTAGTGTCCCTAACATGGTTCAGTGTCTTAACTCTGCGCTCAGTGAGAATCAATACAGTAATCTGTTTTTTTTCCTTTTACTTCAGATTGATTTTTGCTGTCTCTGTACTGACCCCTGCCGTCACATTATCTCCCCAACAAGGCCAGTTAGTCCAACACAGATTAATGTAGCGGCGAACATATGAAAAAAAAATCTCCCTTTTTCTCTTCAACTTTCCTCATACACCTCCATGATAAGAAATAGGCGACTCTGTGCTACCTTCCTTTTATTCAGCTGCTGTTTGGTTCATTCTTTAACCATTTTTGTCTTTCCTTATGAAGCCACCAGAATCATTCTCCTTCGCCCTGCTCCTGGTTATTCAATTCTGCCTTGTATGTGTTTCTCATCTTCTCTCCTTTTAAGCGCTAAAAATCTCCCTAAGTAGATGAGATGAGAGTTTAAGTGTGTTTAGAAGTGTGTCTGTGTGTGTGTTTGTTACCTTCCTCCGGGGTTGTGAGACTCGATCTCAAATCGTTGTCGTTGTAAAGACTCTCGGTGCAGCTAACAGGACCACAGGCGCTGACAGTGACGATGTACCGAGTGGATGGAGTGAGACCCGACAGCACACCTGGAGAAGAACATAAACATGGTAGTCAGGAATAGCGGTGGAGAACACAGACAGAAGGAATTTTATTCAAAAAAATAACTTTGGAAAATGCTCACTTGATTTTGCTAAGCCAGCTGTGTGTCAGAATGCATATTTGCAACACACAGATAGCCATAAAAGTACAGTTTTAACCCTTTGGGCCCTTAAAAAGATGTATTATATTTAGTAAAATTGCCACAATGTCTCTTTTTGTCAAAGCCCAAAATTGTAAAAACTGAAAAAAATTCATTTTCAGATTTCAAGATCGGAGAAAGGTCGTAAATTTTCCATAATGTGTCGAGTTACCATTTTCCACAGGATTGGTAACACCTGGAGGCACTTGGAACACGTTGCACACGCTAACTCCAGGTTTTTATCATGTTTGTAAAATGAATACTAAAGTAATTCAACTTTTGCTTTTCACTTTTTTATAATTTATGACATCGTAACTTTATCATACAGCACAAAAGACATCTTTGAGTTCTCTCTACGTCTAGGGATAGTTGCACTGTTTCCATAGAGGTGCAGGACTTTATACTGCAGTAAAAAATGAGCCCACAGTGACTAAAAGTGTGACAGGATTAAGGAAACACCCAGAAACTGCTTGGAGTTCAAAGGGCTAAGAATAACTTGAAAAAAAAGTAGACCTATATCCTTTAACATTCCTTTGTGCCAAACCTGCCTTACCTGGCTAAATGCCTTTTATTGTCTCCTATAAACGTGTGTTCAGTGCACTGCTGAAGTCTGCACCAATATGCTTCAGTGGTGCAATTTAAATGCTTTACTTGTTTCTATGTGCTGCTGTTGCTAAGCAAATTTACTGTGTTTGGCAAACAAAGACGGTCTATTCTAATTGTAAAGCCTCAGTCGTCTCTCTCTGATGTTTTTTGTCCTCGCCGTCTTGGCCCCTCTCCACTCCTCTCTGTATTTCCTAAGTCACTCTTTTACATCCCCCTCCCTTCTCCTCCACCCCCTTCAACTCTCCCCACCTTCTGTGTCCAATCACCCTGCACTTGTCTCTTCCTCTTGCTCTCTCCCTTTCGCTCTCTCTCACCGTTACCCATGTCTTTTAATTCAATTAGGGGCCAGGGCCCCACTCCGCTGCCATTACACCCTCATTTGCTTTCTGTGTTTTTTAGCCATTGGTGTAATTCTGCAGTCAGGTGTCGAGGCCATCATAAATTAAGAAGAAGCCTTATCGAGGTGGACTTAATGTCTGGCAAAGAGAGGGGGGAGGGAACGAGGAGCCGCGAGAGAGACACTGAGAGAGACGGAGACAGAGAGCTCATCTTCATATTTGCCTAGAGACATGGCAGCGTGGATGAGAAGGGGGACGAATAGCAGCAGCGGACGCAGACATCATCATCATCATAAAAGATGAAGTGAAGAAAGATCGAAAAGTGAGCAACAGAGAGGGAGAGGGAGAGAGAGAAAAGGAGCGATGCCAGGGTATGACATCATTGGGGTAGTCCTGAGTGTCTTGTTCCAAATGGAGACAGTCTTCTAAAGCTGGGGACCTGCCAAGGAGACATTAACAGGGTTGCCTGGGACAGTCGGTGTTTGTATGAAAGACAGGAGGAAAGTGAGTGAAAAAGGCAGCGTGAATGTGTTTTCGCTAAGGGCCAAAATGACCTTACGGGTATCGCAAGAAGGCAGGAAGAAATCAGCTGCAGTAAGCGTACTCGAACAACAAAATGCTAAAGTTTTCATAATCTATCATTGTGTCACATTATGCTCCCTGTGATGTTTGTCACTTTTTGTTTTGCAGAGAAGAGCTAGCTGTCTTTTTAATAGATTAGATTGGACTGGATTCAACTTTATTGTCATTGCGGTTTGGCACCCAATCCAAGTCGTGCAAAAAGTAGTGCAAGGAGTAAAAAACATGTAAATAATAACCTTAAGCTGGCTAAAGTGTGAGTAAGGCATGTGGTAAAATGGGTTTAAAAAAGAAGTAATCTAATGCATATGAAGAAGGCTTTTCAGTTTTCTCCTAAAAAGAGATTAGAAGCTTGAGTAATATTTACACTATCAAAGATTACCTGTGAAATTTCCATTAGCCAGGTACGTGGCTGTGATGGGCGGTGCTTCTGGATGGTCTCTGTTGTAGGCCTTCAGCTCGTATCTGTCAATCAGCCCTCTGATGTCACCAGCGGGCGGCACCCAGCTCACCTTGGCACTGAAGCCGTCGAAGCTCTGCACTGTGGTAGGAGGTGGTACAGACGAAGGCACTACAGTAGAGAGAGACAGAGAGAGAGAAAAAAAAAAAGTGTCAAGATGAGAGGATAATATGATGGGTCGATGCAGGAAAGTATTCATAAAAAATATAGGCAACAAAATAAAACCAATCACATGCAATTAATAAAAACATCATACACCAAATAAGAGAAGCAAAGAAAAAAGAATGAGAGTGTGAAAAATGAAAAGCAGAAATTACATCAGGATGAGAAAATGTCTAAAGAAACACATCACATAAAAGCTGAACAGAAATATACATGTGAAAAAAAAAAAGCAAAACAACAGGTCAGGAGCACATGAGATTAAAGAAAAAGCATTCCCCCATCTCTCTGTGTTTTAATAGGCCCAGTAAATCATACCTCACCATTAGCATAAATAGTATTTATGAGAGTAGTAACTTTTTCAGCACTGATTTAATACAGCCAGCCATTCATTCTGGGCTATATTTCACAGCAATCAGCCTCCCTCCTTCTCTGTAGCACTCCCCTTATTTCTCTCTCTGACACCCTCAGCAGCTCTGGATGGTCCATCTCCGTTCCCCTCCTTCTCTGTCTCTGTCTGTCTTACTGCCACCTTCATTTTTCTGTCTCCACTCATTCTTTCTTTTACATCCGTCCACAACCTCACGTATCTGGGATTTAGTCCAAGAGTGAACTGGCCGCCAGTGCAAACACTCAAAAAGAGGAACTCAAAGACATATTCTTGTGGAGCAAACATACGTACATGAAGTATATAAAGTCATAAAATAACACACCACCGATGAGCTGCTTCATGCTCTGTTTCCTGTGACTTCTTTTTGTTTTTCTTCTGTCAGTCATTAACTTCCCTATCCCGGCTATTTTCTCCCCTTCCCTCCCCACTTCAGCCACTGTTATGCCTTCTCGTTTTTATCTATTTTTTCCCTCCTCCCTTTATTACCCACTCACCTTGCATATTTCCTCATCTCCTCCTACCCTTTCCCTTTTAGCTGTCCATCGTTTTCTTTTGACTCTTCCCTCCTTCCACATTTCCTCTCAGTCTTTACCCCCTCCCTCCCCAATCCTCCTCTTTTCCCTTCAGTTCTTAATGTTTTTAGCACTTCCTCCCTCCCTGCTTCTCCTCCATCCTTCTCTTTGGTCATAGCGTGGTGTACTGAGACCTACCAGTGTATCGTTCACTACTAACGAGCAGCTTTATATTACACAAGGGACCACACAGGCCATTCTGGGTTAACAGCCTTTTACTGTGATGCCCTTTATAGAGGCCTTATCAATCTCTCATACAGTCAGGCACATGTAATATCACTGGCTTTGGATAAGTCTCAAATACTGTACAAGATAGCGGCGGTTTTACATGGAAAATCTCTTAACATCAAAGGAAAACTCGATAGAAGAAAGTTAAACAAAGAGAGCAGATTGAATACTCCTCGTTGAATGTGCCAGCATGAGTATATGAAGTTCCTCTTTTGGTTATTTAGGGCAAAATTGTACATTTTGCTAGCAAATAAAAATCTAATTCCAACACCCATTGAACAAACATGCACACAAACACACAAGACCTGAGGCTTTGTAATAAGCGCCTTCTCTTACACTATTAGAGAGTGTCAGATTAAAGTGTGATAGAATAAAAGATACTGTGCACAAAGTGGACTGTGCTTGTGTGCTACAGTCATGTTTATTATCAACATCATCATATTTGGCTGTGAACATAGTAGCCTGATAACACATGGAAACTCCCACCAGCTACCATCATTGAGATGTGAGATGTTGTACCTTTGCCTCGGCTGCGTCCTCTCTGCCAAGGTCCTGCAGCCCAGCCTCCTGCAGCCAGGGCCACAAACCTGTACAGGTACTCTGAAAAGGTATGTGTTTGCACACAGGAGAATGGGGACGCACATGGGACAGGGAGGAGAATGTATTTAAATAACAAACACAAAACATTGTCTACCATGTTCCCAGCTCTAATGTGATGTAATTTCCTGCTGTAAAGTATACATGAACTTCTCAGATGGTTAGCTCGTGTTCACGTCTTTGTCAGAAGCTAAATGTTGAAGCATACTAACATCAGTGGTGTAAGCTCTGAGAACACGAAGACGTAGAAAGCTGCTAGTAACTACAGTGTGATGCAAATATGTCAAAGCTGCAAAATTTGCCTGACAGTCCTGTCTGCATGTATTACACAATGAAAAAAAAAAATGATGCATATGTATTTTGATATTCACCCTATTAAAAGCTGTCTAGGAGTAAAAAGTCATCTGAAAAGTAAGTGCTGAACTTCAGTAGCACTCAGGATGAAAACTGGCTGGCTGGTGGATCTGGTGCTTGTGTTGCAATCTAGATATTTTTAGTGATATACAAGAAATCTTCGCTTCAGAATTTTATCCTACTGATAATACAGTAAATACTTATAAAACTCTTATCTTTAACTGCCCTCTAATAATAATAATATCAACTGCTGTTTGTGCTTGTTCATTAAATAACCTTTTGGACTGGCTTTTGCAGCAGAGACTAGAGCTTCAACGCCATGTGTTGTTATTTATCTGATAATTGAGGACAGCCAATCACTGTAATGCTACTTTCAAAAAAATAATAAGTATTGAAAGTTTGCCGGAGTTCCACACTTCCTCTTCAAGTGAGTGCTGTTTCTGTGTCAGTGTAATGCTACGTGTGCTGTGCATTGTTACCAGAGAAAGGTTGCAGACTAGAATCTGTGGCTTGTGTCTTCCTCCCATTGTAGACCAACACTGAATCGTTTCCTCTGCAGTTGTACCGGCTTTCACTGGTTGGACAGCCATCTAAGTAGACTCTCACAGAACGGTGTGAGGCAATAGCAAGATTAACACTTTGACTGACAGGAGGGTTTCTTTCATCACTTCGTATGGTAAGACCCCTTATGCAACCACCGAGGCCTGGAAAAGGAAAGAGAGCAGAGAGGAGAAAGAGAGTAGAAACAGAACAGGGGAAGAGATAGAATGTGAGAAGAGTGCATGTTTTCTTTGTGAAAACTCTATACATTTTTAATTGTTTAAATGAACACTATTGTGCTTCACTCTAAAATTTACACTTGTTATCCTCACACCGCAAACTCAGTCAATTTCCCTGCCTTAGAAAATTGCGGCACCAGTGTGTTTGAAATGAAGCTGAATTTATTAAGCTCTTAAATTTTAGTTCAGTTTCAGCTCAACGTGACTCCTGGTTTGTTCAGTCATTTCTTCAGATAAGCTTCAGAAAAGCGGGCAAGTTACAGATAAGGCAAACATGACCTACAAATACTTACAGTGCCGTGAAAATGTATTTGAGAATCCAAGAAGGGAGCAAATACTTCTTCACTGCACTGTATATACTCTCAAAGGAGCCCCAAAGCAAGTAAACGGCATATTGGACGAGCTGCAGGATAGCATACATGTGGAAACAACAAGTTTAAAACACTTCTTCTTGGTTGACCATCTGCCATCTTTAATGCGGGAAAAGCAATTGTTATTTATCTCACCGTGTTTGTGACTTCGGCTGTCCAGAGCAGGATGTATGAGCTCTGTTGGCACGCCCCCCACGTAAAGCGGTGAATCAACTCTTAGCCTCGCTGTCCCTCCCACTCCCCTCGTTTCTTCGGCCCAGTAATCGACGGCAGCAGAGATGAGTGAGCCGCGTTTCGCCAATGACAACTGTTTCCAATCTCCATCGCAGTAGCTAAGCCCCACCCACATGCTGAGTTCAATCACATGACCTTCAGCGGCGAGAATGAAGGACAGAAGACCCGCTTCTAGCTCCACCTAAAAATACACACCAGTAGACAAAATCTCAAAAACGTATCCTGTGTTGTCTTACTCTCAAGTTTCATTTGGGTATTTCTAATATTCAAATAATAACTTTAAATATGTTCTCACCAGCATGTAGTCTTCAGCTTGCGTGTTGTATGTAAACAGCAAAAGTGCGCTTAGCTGGTCTGTTCGGAAATCCATAGAAATGTCAAAGTCCTGTCCTCCACCGAATACACTCGCGTCCAACTCCAAGTAACCTGAAACAAAGAGGAAATAACTGGCTACCACATGCCATTTCACCGGCAGAACATGCGTCTAATTTTAAATGTGTGAAATGTCTAAGGTTAAAATGTTCTGTCATACATTCAGAAGTGACAGACAAATAGAAGATGGGATGAGAAAGCCTTTTTACGAAGCAATAATGGAGGAAATGTACACTAATGAACCTGATCTTTCACACAGAGGCCAATTAACTTATCATCATATTTATCAACATGAAACCATCTCATTATCACCAGCATCAGCAGCAAGCATCTTATTAAGATATACAGTGCTGTCAGTGTATTAGGGGCACTAAAAATCATTTAAAGTTGTATCTGAACACAGCTTGACTCCACAGAGCTTTTCATTCCAGCTGCTGCTACCAGATGATTCAACATCACAGTATTATGTTTTGTGTTACATATTAGCTATGTAAAATGTAGTAATGACGCACACTGTCCTCATGACACAAAGAAATCAATCAAAAGCAGTCAGTAACATCCTACCATGACCCAGAAAATGGGCTCCGTCCACAGTTTGAAGAGGACATCCCTCCCAGCTTTCATACGCTGCCACCTTCTTTGTGACTTTTGTCCAGTTCAGAAACTGCCATTCCTCTGAGGGGCCGTCAGTCATCTTAAAACTCACATCTCTGAGGCAACCAGAGAAGCCCCGTCGTACCAGTCGGGCATCTCCTGGAGAGACAGACAAGAATAAAAACCATAACTGTCATTCGAAAGTTTTTCACTCAATGCCTTCTGCTATAGGAATGTTTGAAATTTTGAGTTCAGGCTTGTCAGGGCCAATTGCCATCCAGAGCTTTCATAGGAATACTGAGAGGTACAGTGTCAGTGTCTGAACATAAGAATGATGACAAGTTTTAGGAAGGAAAGTAAATTAGATGAGTAGTATTGAGGCTGAACCTCATTCAAGAGGCAAAGGTTTATATTCCTTTCTCAGTTATGGGGACAGAAAACACCTGAATAGTCAAATAGTTCTACCCAAATTATGGACAGAGTTGTTTGGAAAAAATCCTTCTGAAAGCATTAATGCAGTATATTACAACATTGGCCAACAGCCAAGCCACGTTCACACTAACAAAATGTACCAAATCAATTTAAAAGTTAGGAACTGGGTGGAGACTTACCTGAATCCTTTCTCAGTACAGTAAAATCTTCAGGCAGCCCTCCAATGAACACCCCCATGTTGTCACCGATAATGGTGCTGCCGCTGGAAGCTGATGCACTTCCTAGTGGTGGAGGAGGTAGCACGGTGGTGTTAGATACACAGTAAATGTAGTGGGGCAACGTAAAAATGTGGAATGAATGTAAAAAAAAATAAACATGACAGAGCATTGAGGAAGCACGAGCGAATGGGTGATATTATAAGGAGTAAAAGAAAGAAGAGGTGAACGGGGGGATTAAAAAAAAAGTAAACAGGAGTCAGACCAAATGAAAGAGAAGTTACGCAAACGGAGCTTCTTTCCACATTTACCTCGAAAGAACATATTTTAGCACAACTGAGGAACATCGGTGTCTTTCTGCATGTGTGAAGCACTATTTTTCTCATCAGACACAGAGTGGCTGGGATTAACCTGACTAATACCTCCATGTGGAGCTGGGGAGATTTACATACACAGAAACACACACACATGCACATTCTCGTCAGTCTCACACTGTTCACATCCGAGCACATGTGTAGATGAGCGTAACACACACACACACGCACACACACACAGAGCAGAAACACACAGTGGTCAGTATGAATATGAGAAGAGTTACCTCTGTATTGATCGTTTACAACGATTGTTCCCACGGCCCCTCGCCTTGTTGCTGTGATGCTGTGCCACTGTCCATCATTGTAGCGGCGCCCTCCATCACCCTGCACACTCACAGCCACTGCTGAGCCCTACGCACATAAACAGCAGCACACAGAAACCCAGCGTACAGGGAGAGAAGGTACACACATGCATTGACGATATGAAGACTTGGACATCTTTACAAACTCTGACCATAAGTCTAAATGTCTTACAGTAATCAAAAAAGCCAATCTACAACCTCTGGTTCAAATGAGAACAGTTTTCAAACAGCAGTGCAATCAAACATGTTTACTTTCTATAATTTAAAATGATTACTTTGTTAGTCCCCTCGCCAAACAAGTTTGGACATGAAGGATCAGTGACACACATCACCCTCAAAAGGACACGGACATGCACATATAATCATCAAAGTGTTGTTACGGGGCTTTTTGCTACCTATTAAGTATGACATCATTGTTGTGATCAGCTTTTAGCAAGCAGGCAAAGAGTAATGTAGTAAAAAAACAAAACAACAAGAGTAACGGGTACGTACACACACATACACAGACACACATGCCGTGATGAAGATTTAATGATGAGATCAATAAATGTATGAATGCCAGAGTATATCAGCCTCTGACATCTTTACTATCATTGCTAGACAGCTCTACTTAACAAGACAACGGAGGAGGAGTCTGTTTATCTATTTTTCTCCCTCTCTCCTTTACACGTACGCGCAAACACACACCCGTTTGAATCGCTTGTCTGGGGAAATACTAGCAGAGGAAGCAACTAACACTCAACTCCCCAAGAAACTGATACTGAAGAGCCCTTACGCGAGGCATTTAGAACGTAACTGCTCAAGTAGGTGCGTTCAGCGGGCAGATGATGGATTGAAGCTTTCATTGAAAAGCACCACTGTCACTGTCACTCTGTCAGGCAACATATAGTTTCAGCTGAAGACGTTACGTGCTTTAAGAGTAAATAGCTGGATGAAACCCACAGCTCACTTTAGCAAAGACCTACTGATGAGGTGGTGTCATCTCTTGAGTGGTACGGAGGTGTCTGTCCACTGTTGAATGTCCCAATGCCCAATCTCTTTAATATACACTATGAGAAGCTGGCAGACACACACACACGCGCACACACACACCTACACACACACACACACACACACCAAATAAATAGCACTTATCCAAAGTGCTGCCCCTGTGGCTTCCCCAGCTATACTTGGCAGCCCCCTTCTCTGAATATGAGCAAAGAATGTGTGTGTGTGTGTGTGTGTGTGTGTGTGTGTGTGTGTGTGTGTGTGTGTGTGTGTGTGGTGTATACATGTAAGAAACAGACTGATTGAGCAAAAATCTAACAATCTCATCTATTCTTGTAACAGTATGTCAATTCCATGTAATGCAAACTTAGTCCGGGTCTTCAACTGTGTAGATAGTCTGAAGTCCTTTAGGATGGTTTTTTGACCTTCTATCCAAAGTAAAACAGCAAATTTTTCACCAATAACTGATGAGCAAAAAAACGCAAACGAAAAAGTTGACACAGTCTTGTCATCTCAGAAGTGTTTCGGTTAACTGCTGCAACTTGTCAAACGTGCACCCAGCACAAGCAAACGTACTCATTCAATCCCTCTGCTGAGCTCACCATTAAAAAGAAAGCTGAATATGGATGGAGAGAATAAAGCAGGACCTGGTGACAGGCCACTGTCTTCCTTTTCTTGAAGTCACCTTCTGATCTAAACAGGCTTTTATTTGGGTCTGTTGTACCTGGGAGATACTTTAAAAAGCCTCATGCCATCCTGTACCCAGCCTCCACGAGATACCAGTGGTACCAGTGACAGATGTATTGTTATGTCATATCACTTCAGTTTGACAGACACCTCAGAGTCCAGGTGTTTCAGGTAACCCTCTGTGCCTCAAAACCCACTGTCAGGTTTGAGAGGCATGGTATTTTTTTTTAATTGCAAAAACTACACCATTTATCGTACAATCCTCAACAGCCAAAAACAAATTCCTTGTATGTTGTGTACGTACTTGGGCATTAAAGCTGATTCTGATTTTGATGGTCCTTGAACTATTCATATAGGAATTCCAGTTTTGTCAAGAAAAACAACCAAATCTAAGCTTAAAATCAGGATATTTCAGCAAAAGCACTTTAGTCAGTGTCTCATTAAAAATTGGCCAAATTAAAACATTTGCAGATTCTGTTAAACCAAAGAACTCTACACTCCTCTGCACAAGTGAGGAGCTTTGAACTGCAACCAACAGTCATGTGACAAAAATTCAGGGACTTTTCAGATAAACTGCAGGCTGTGATGAAGCAGAACAGACAGAAGACAAGAATGGAAATACATTAAAATGTTTACCATAAAATATCTACAGTATGTAGAGTCAACATTTTTTTCATTGTTGGTAACAGCTGTAGGCACATAGAAAAACTCTGCACGTGTTGATGTGGGGTTTTTGCAAGTTTTGTTCATCAAATTTAGTTTTTTCTTTCATTATGATTTATTCAATTCAATTCAATTTTATTTGTATAGCGCAAATTTACAACAACAAGTCATCTCATAGCGTTTCACAAAGGCAAAAACAGAAACACCCAACAATCCAAAACATCTGGATTCCCTATAAGCTTCAGCAGTCTGCAAGCAGTCCACAACAGTGGGAAGGAACCGAAAACCCCCACAGGGGAAAAAAAACCTCAGACAGAACCAAGCTCAGGAAGGGACGGCCATCTGCCTCGACCGGTTGGGTGGATGTAGGATGAATTATAAAATTTAGTTTACAGTTAAACAAGTTATTAGAATTTATTGTACTTTTGTAACAGGAGGCATCATGGTGGGGCAGCAGGATGCAGATGGCATTATAACTTTTAAAAAAAAAAATTCTCTTTACTTCTAGTCATGGTTGCTGTTTCCATACAAGTGCAGGACTTTATTTGTCGGGAAAATTGAGACTACTGAGAGTAAAAACGCTACCAGTGTAAAAAACATGCATATAATGCTCATGATTTGGAGGGTTGAACATTATTGTATGTGTTTCATTTTGAGACCCACTGCCAAAGGGGCAAGTTCAGGCAAAATCACAAGCATTAGCAAAAACTCTAGATTAAACGCTTATGTGTTGTACTAAATGAGCAAGAAAATCCTTTGAATAATGGAAAGAATTAGGGCTTCCTGACATGCAGTGTTTTTTGTGTTATGACAGTAAAAGGACATTTAATGAGCACCATTTAAGTGGGTAGGCTTGGTTTATTTTAATGGCTTTCAGTATATATGTTTAGCATCTATTGTTGGACTATAATGTTTACCTCATCCAAGCAAAGACAAGGGAAGCTGGGATATCCTGTCTGGGGAGGCTAAAAACCGTTGGAACAAGCCTTTGTTTACTGTTAAATTACATCACAAAGAGTGATAAACAATGTCTGTATTGAATTGCACTCCAAAAATAAAACTAGAAAGACTGAAAAAAGTACAAAAAGTCATGGGAATCAACACAAATGGTATTAATCGGTCAGAATTAAGAGTTATTACTGACTACTGTTAAGTGTGTAGAGTTTTGGCTTTGTTGTGCAGAAGCCAGGCATTATGAGCATGAGATTTAATAAGGATAACTCAGTAGATGATCATGTGTAATGGAAATGTCCTCTGGTGCAGCATTTTTTAATTTGTATTTTTTTTAAATCAGAGGCTATAGATTTATCAACATACTGTATGTGTGCTTTTCTGTTACTGTTTGGGAACTAACCAATTAACATGGTTCATTCACATTGTAGATATTACTCCATCATATGTGTCCATTTGCTCCGAGTATTTAGGTTGTTCCTGTTGATCAAATAACCAAAGTGGCAGCAGATCGACTTGGTTTTAAAACGTCTATTGTCAGAGTAAAGTCTAAGATACATTTTCCACCAATATAACAACAACTAGATTTGTGCTGCCTCATTTGAATGAACCTCCCACCTGTTTGTTCCTTTCTTCCCACCTGTGCACAGTGTGCTCTGTACTTGGCACCGACATACCACACAGATGTGCAAAGCAAATTTCAGGAAAAATACCGAACTATCAGAGTGCTGCCAGAGTTGATACTTGCTAAAAAGTTACTGGACTTTTCTACATCTGTCTAAACAGGAATATAATATGAAATAAAAAGTATTTAAGCTAGAATACTACAGATTTTTGATTGTATTTTACTATATTATGTTATTATTAATGACTGAGGAACCCTCCCCGTTCAGTTTCTCTGGCTCTTTGTCATAATTTTTCATGGTTGTTGGACAATATGATACATCTGCTGATGCTTTTTTGACACAACACAGACGTTATAAGTAACTAAAGCCTTCTATCTCTCCTGCTATTTTGCTGCTTGCATACCAAAAACAATTAGAAAGCCACACAACTTGCAGAAATTAAAATTTTCTTGACCATAATCTTCTCCTAGCCTCTTCCAGGAGTATTAACCATAGCTAGCAGACTAAATACCATCTTGTGTTTGCCTTATGTCTCTAATTAAGATCGCAACAGTGTGGTGTATTTTTATGATTATCTTTTGCAAACCTAAAATACACAACACTTTCTCTAGCTAGAGTTAGTGTGTGACAAGTGCTACAGCCCTGATCATGATGCTGTGAGAAACACTACAGCTGCACACCTGTGTACACTGTGGTCCATACAGCACTACTCACATGCACCCACAGAGACGTGTAGCTCTGTTGCTTCCACATGCATTTAAACAACTGGAAGTCTAACTAACTGTAGAGCTTTGGTTTAGCTCTTCTACGTGTGACAGGAAGTCTTCTTGTACTTCAATGTATGCCAGTGTGTGGCAGATCACATGTGCACATATTTATGAGCATATCACTTTCCTGTGTCATGCTAAATTACCACCCACCCCCCCCTGCACTGGTAATCCCATTAGGCTAGCTCAACAGGCTAATAGGGGGAAGTAATGGGCCCAGCTATATGTATCTAGGGGAACACTAATAAGCCGTGACACCACTCCCACTGTTAATTACCTCAAACTAGCCTAAACAAAGGAATCTACCCAGTTGGAGAAGACACACATCCACTTCATCACACATCCAGCAGCACACACAACCACAGACACATCCATCAACATTGATAGTCAACAAGGATCCGTTTAGTGACAGGCACCCTTCAACACACACAGGTACAGCCAATAGTTACATGCTGATGAAGACGTTTTGATAGCAAAGTATTGCAAAGTGATTCTGATGAGGAACAAAACTGTGTGTATGTGCGTGTTTGTTTCAGTGTGTAATTAGTTGGTGGCCTCATGGAAGTATGTGTAATCATCTCCCATCATCCCTTTCATCATCCAAGTCGTTGACTCTTTAACCCCTCTACATGTGTCTGTATGGATGGATAAGGGAAGCAGGGCTGTGTATGTATGCTTGTGTGTGTGTGTGTGTGTGTGTGCGCGACGTGTGTGTGTGCGTGCGCGCGCGCAAGGGTGCAAAGCTTAATTAGCTTGCAATTGGTATTCACGCGTGGTGACTGCAGGGAATGAGTTAATTGCAGTCCAATTCAAACGTTGACACACTTTCAAAGTTTTTCCCCTCTCCCTGTCTCCCTGACAGAAACCAATGAGGGGCTACAGATCACATTTATTAGATGAGAGCAAGTGAGAGAGAGAACGGGAGAGACGGCGAGAGAGAGAGCAAGAGAGAGGGGAAGAAAAAGAGAGAATGACGGAGAGACGGAGGTGGATTAGGAGAAAGAAAGAAAGAAAGGAGAAACACAGGTGAAGGTGAGCAAGTAAGTGAAGTGAGTAAAATTATTTGTCTATAAAAGAAGACTCCTGAAATTGTAAATCAAAACTGGTAAATGTCCAGTAAACTAGAATGCTTCAAAATGTATACATCTTTGACATTAGCAAAGAACAGTAAACTCCAGATGTGTTTGAACTAAATGGAGATGCTTTTGACTCAGTGGCTGCAAACAAAAGTCCCTCAACAAAAGAAATGAAGGGTAACATGCAAATTAAATTCACATATTTCAAAAACAATACAAAAAAAGGAACAACACTTTAGCTAATTAGTTGTTTTGTGTTTTGTTGCATCTTTTAAAAGCACCTGTTATCAACCAGTGTTGTGCTATCATTTTTGATCTTGTATATCAGCCTTTGTGCTCATATTCTTACAAAGTGTGAAAAAGCGTTACGTACCTGTGGGTCAAACAAAAAGTAAGGGCGTCCCTTCTTGATCTGAATGGCCAGAAACTCTTCCTGGTTTCCTGGAGAGAAGGCGCAGAGCAGCAGGCCATCTGGGGACCGAGTCTTGAAACTCATCTTAACACCTGATACAATGTTAGATCAGGAACAAGATGGAGAGAGGAAGAGAGGTTTAATGTTCTTACATTATTAATTATTAATTTAGTGTGACATACTAAACATCTTAAGGACACCTAGACTACACATTTCATTTGATCATATTTAAATAATTCAGTCACATTACAATGTGGGCAATGTGTAAGCAACAACGTGACACTAAGACTTACCCACCGGACCCCAAAGAGCACAATCAACACAAAGATAATAAATGTGCGCTTCTTTCTCCAGACTTTCAAAAGTATTTCATTTCTGAACTTAATTAAATCTATACAACATGCTAGTAAACCCTGTAAACACAGCTTTATACTCCAGTCTGAGCTTCCATGTCAGATCTAATGCCTTTTTCAAATTATGAAGCCAGATACGCTGCTTACAAGTGAAACAGGAAGCTGGAATAAACTTACTTATTCTTACATTTCTATCAAGATCACTGTTTCCCAAAGCTCTAAGCTGACTTCATTTCCACTGTAAGCCAGCCGTCTAGGATAATCTTCCTACTGAGATACTTTAGGGAAAACATCAAAAAGACAAGTCTGAATAGACACACCTGCACTTTTACACTTTTAACAGCGTTCACTTGTGATCTCTTAAACCATAACCCTCCTTTTGTACATTTTAGGATAGATAAAGTACATAGACAGAGTAGGGTCTTCTTAGGAGATTTAAAAATAAAAATAAAAATACAATCAATGGAGCTGTTGATGGAACTAAAACTTGACATGAAACATGATTCATTCATGATATCAGCACTGTCAAACCCCATTCAGGTATCTCTTTAAATCCGCATTAGGATACGGCTTTCCTGCATTTTCACGTTACAACACAAACCTGTGGGAATGTTTACGACTACTTTCAGAAAGCTCAATTATGCTACTGTCAAATGGAATAAAACCTAAATAAATCCTGACACACCAACGAGATTGATAATTGACTTGAGATCTGTAAAAGCCAAGTTATGAGAAATATTAGCAATGTAAACTTTGAACAGGACAGTAACTGAATAAATAGTTCTATCTGTTGGATCGGGCCCAACTTAATGCTTCAGGAATGTGGGAAACTTGTTGGTTCTTAGACCAGCTGAACCTGAACACACACACACACACACACACACACACACACACACACACACACACACACACACACACACACACAGAGCAGAGAATTCATCCAGCGTGCTTTCTTGTCATGTTACTATGGATCAGAGATTGGATCTTAATCCACTACTAGATCCACATAACGACACGGAGCATGCAGGTTTCTGTGTGTGTGTGTGTGTGTGTGTCTATGAGTATGTGTGTGTTTCTTCAGCTCCGTCTGTCTCTGTAGAGAACAGAAGTGTGGGAAGATCTGAGGAGTTGAATGGAGGCAGTCTCGGGTTCATCAGAAGCCAGTGTTAGCAAAATAATTAGTGTGTGAATTCACTTAACATGGAGAGAAGTCAAACAGTTACACGGCAAGCTCAAAATGAATACAGATTAGCCATTTCTCAGAGCTGCCAGTATTTTACTCATTTTTAAGCACTTTTCCAGTCTGGTTCATTTGAGTCTGCTTGTTGGACCTATTGCTGTGTTAGTTGTTGGTTTGTAGCTAGTGATAGTGACTTCAATCAGATTTTTATATTAACTAAAAACACAAGGCACACAGCTTTGCACTCTGTACATTTTGCATACACATTTACAATAGGTGGGAAGATGCAAGGTGGAGCAGTGGTTAGTATCGTTGCCTCGCAGGAAGAAGGTCGCTGGTTCATGTCCCAGTGATCTTTCTGTGTGGAGTTTGCATGTTCTCCCCGTGCAGCCTGGGTTCTCTCCAGGTTCTCCGGCTTCCTCCCACAGTCCACAAACATGTTGAGGTTAATTGGTGATTCTAAATTGTCCATAGGTGTAAATGTGAGTGTGCTTGGTTGTCTGTCTCTAAGTGTAGCCCTGTGATAGACTGGTGACCTGTCCAGAGTGTCCCCTGCCTTCACCCTGGGTTAGGCTCCAGCCCCCCCGCAACCCTAGCGAGGATTAAGTAGTGTATAGATAATGGATGGATGTTGACAGTGACCATTAAAAAAAGAAATCCCTTCAAGGCTTTTTTGAATTCACCTGTGGGGCTACAACTAGTGGCAATATCCCCAGCAGCACCTACATAGATCAAATGCACATATTTGGGTATCAGAATAAATATGCACCTCCAGTTTTTCCTCTTGGAAATCTAAGAAGAAGGCATCTAAGAATCTAAGTCTGATTCTTGAGACTTGAGTCTGACATCATCTTACATTAAAGTGTAACAAATTGATTGCTGATTGATTTTATTTTCAGCCAAGTGCACAAAGTGATGAAAGTTGACACACAATAAAAAGTACGTAAAGAAAAGACCCATAACATTTTTTCATGCAAAAAGAGTGTAGAAACCTGTGGAATTAATATTAAAACAGTAAAATGGTCCCCTTTGAGCAGTCCACAAATGTATTGATCATCAATAATTTACAAACTCATTATTTTACGATGGTTCTAAACTACTCTGTGTGGACATAAGTGCACCAACTGTTGTAGCAGTACACAGCTAACACAAGACAAAGATGTTCTTTACATTGGTCTTGCATTCTGTGCATCATGCAGGCATGTGTCATTTACATTCATGACCTTGTCACCACAAAGATGAGTGAAGTCATGACAGATACCTGACATTACATTACCCCCCTTTAACCTTCTCTCTCTCTCTATCACACTCTCCTGATCTCTCAATCCTTCCTTTCTTTCGTCCCCCTGCTTTTAACCTTCCTCATCTTTTTCCTGACCTTTTCATTCTCCTTTTCTTCCCCTACTGCCTCCTCTGAATATGTTTTCTATCCTTGCATCTTCAATTCTCGTTTTTACATCGTTCGCTTTCGGCGTTGCTTCTTTTCATGCATCCTGTTCCCTGTTCTAACTCTTGTGTAAAGTGTTCCAAACTAAACAGACTGCCGGTAGCATCAATGTGTGTTTTTTTAACGTGAAAATGTTAGGTAGATATTTATCACACACATATAAACTTGCTCCTGAACACAGAGGACATAGAACACGATAGTCAAAGAAGCAGCATAACTAATATTCCAACTTCATCTGCATAGAAGTTCATATTCGTTTTATACAATACAAATGTCAACAGCATTAACGTAACACGATGATGAATTATATCCTGGCAGATGCATTTTTCCACTAACTTAAGCTGGTCCAGAATGTGAGTCTTCCCATGACACGACATGTTTATAAAGATTCAACAGGTCCAGTCCAAACCTCACAGTGTCCAAATGATATTATGGGACTTAAGGATAACGGGAATTGTTCTTCAAGCATACGTTGCTATAAAAGTCTAGTGTAATGACACTTTAGAGATTTGTTTCTAAAAACATGTCAGACGATAAATGCTGAAAACATGTGAAAATTGGTTCAGGATGTTTTTAGACAGGCCACAAATCATGGCTGACATAAAGAAGAGGAGAGCTGATTTTGTGAAGAGCCAGAGTGACGGCGAGCTGAGATCACCACCATCATCCACCTCTGCAGTGACCATTTTTCGTTTTATACAAACAAAAAATTGGATTCACAAATGATCCACTATTGGTAATTGAAGCAGAACCAACTATTCCCAACCCAGCCATCACGCTCGCGTCCTGACATCTGGTGCCATTGTCTGTAGCACATGCCCACCAATGGGCGGAAGTTTCCTCATGTGCTTAATTTATTATAGTAGTAACTTAGTCCACAGCTGCAAAGTGACCCCACAAGTCCTGTGTCCATGGCTTGATGGATCACAGCTGTCTTGGCAGCACCAATACTAGGCAGGTGGTTTTAATGTTGTGGCAAATTGGTGTTTACATGATCATAATAAACTCTTGAAGAGACACATGGAAGGAAACAATAGACAAGAGTGTTGGTGTTCGATATAATGTACAGTATGTTTGTGTAAGTCTCCCAGTCTTTGTGATGGACAAGGTGTTATCCAAGCACGTCCAAATGTACAGCATCTAAGTGACACTGCTCATACTCAGCAATACTTCCTTCAGATTTCCCCACAGGACTTGTGCTACTTCACACTGACAACCACTTTGGAGCCATCAACAGACAAACCTGAGCACACATCATGACAGGTGACTCTGTTACACATACAGTACAAGCAAAAACACACACATACACACACACACACACGCAGACAAGTATACACGCACACAAGCACTATTACAGAACACCAGTGAGCCCTTGCACACCTGAGAGTGCACACTAAAAACTCAGCACATGCTTAAAGACGTGTTTACACAAATATTTTCCACATGTGCTACACGTGTTAGAGCATAGTGTTACACAGCTGCTCGATTCATGTACACGCTGTATAACAGAAACACGTTTAAGACAACTACTTCAGTTAATTTTAATGTTAATCTGAGGCTATGTACTGTATCCTACATAATGGAATACTCAGCATGTCTAATCAGGTTTCAAAAAATAATAATTTTGTCTTTGCTAAAGGCTGACCACACAAAAAAAATCCCTCAAGAAGCTACCTAGCTATACTTCTACCTCGCAGCATTTTTTACAATCCCTCCTACCCATATGAATAGTTAATGTATTGGTCCAGTTCAGTGATGCAACACACTGAACTGAAATAGGAATAGTTTGCAGATGCCACAGAAAGGGAAGAGAATGCATGTATTGCTTATTACTCCCTTCAAAAGGCTGAACTATGATAATTCACAGCCACAAACTTTGAGCACAGCTGTAGCTGCCTTGCCTGGCTGTGTTGCTTAAAGCTGTGGACATGACTGTTGCTCTGACTTCTGGCTGCAGTTGGGTTGAATCTATGAAGCCATGATGCCACTCCTTAATGTTCCGATCCAAATGAACCAAGATAGCGTGATCATCAGGTCATGCAGGAATTTGAACCCACTGTGTTTTAAATAAGACAGAAGAACAAGGAGTTCAGGTGGTTCAGTTGTTTCAATACTCAGCCAGCGCGACCATGTCAGCTCACAGCCTGCACATAATCACTGCATGTAGTCAGTGTAACACCCACCATAATGTGTCACAGCTATAATCATAACAACCAAGTCACAGCAATGGCTACAGTCACAACCACAGCGACGGCTTTGTCATCCACTAGATAAAGTCTCGGTGAATTTCAACAGCAATTAAAAAGCACGCTCCTCTAGTTCTCTTTGTCTAACTGCAAAAATACACATTTTGCCTGAGCAGCCAGTTTTATGTATTATATCTACAACGTAATTCCTAAAACTTAACACGACACTCATCAGTCTCCACGTTAAAACCAGCTGCCTAACATCGTGCAGGTCCAGCTTGTGCTGCCCAAACAGCCCTGACCCCCTGGATCACAGACACCTCGGGGAGTTTTGTGGCATCAAAATATTTGGGTCCTGTAGTTGCAGGATGGGATGTTCATTGATCAGGCTTGTTACAGTGCATCCCATTAATGCTTGTTTGGATTTGTTGGCCAGGTCAATGCCTCGAGCTCTTTGTCATGTTCCTTGAGCGCTTCGTGAGCAGTTTCTTTGCTGTGTGTAAAGGCGCATAGCTGCTGCCAGGAAGGACCACTGCCATCTGGGGATGTACTTGTTCTGAAACAGTGTTCAGGTGGGTGCTCCACGTCAAAGTAACATCTACATGAATGTGAACAATCCCAGTTTAAACCACAGAAAAAAAAAAAACACACGGATTATGTGGGTTTCCTTTGAGGCCCAGTAGAGAGATCAGACATGAGGCTAAAGTTGTAAAGTTCCTCATTAAGAGTAAGTACCCCTCGTCAAGTCAGTGCACCCTGATTTGATGAGGGGGTATGTTTCTCTTATATGTACTATGATAAAATTGCTTTCAGACACTTGTCAATAAATATTTTTTTATGAGTGATACAATACTTAATGTATTGCAAGAAACCTTTTATAAACTACAGGCACAAAGGACCAGCTACACCACCACCATCAACTAAAGATTTGTTAAGTGGAATAATTTCAGTATATTAACTAAACTGAGTTTAGATAAATTAAAAATAATTAGGGATTGTTTCAAATAGAGTTCATTCATATTGAATGAAAAAAGAGGAATTGTTATATTGAATAAAATGTAATATTAACAAGTAGCAATACGGAGCCATTTAGAGTTTTAAGTGGAGTCTTATTTATTAGGTAGTATTGTTTCATGTGCATTGTTTCTCCTCTCTCTGTCTCAGTAAACAGTGGAGGTTGTGTGTAATCATCTACACAACATAACCTGAATAACTCCAGTCATGTTAGCTCTCTGCTGGCATTAATCAGAGCCTGGCGTATTAATGAGAGCGCGGCAGCCAGCTAATTACACCCATAGATTCTGCAGCAGCCCATTAAATATACAAATGACAGAATTAAAGAGCCCAGCCTCTTCTGATTAATCTTTAAATGGGGAAAAACTAATGATGTCTGTGCAAACTTTCCCTTCACACATTTCTCCCCCTCTCCTCTCAACGTCAATGCCTGGCAATCAATCATATTAATTAAGGAAAAATAATTTGTATCATTTAACATTTCCCTCTTTCCCGCTCAGTTGCTGCAGTGGTACTGCAGCAATGTACTGTATGAGACATGTCTGGAAATTATCCAAGTCTATTTGTTCCTGCATTCATTTTTTTTCTCTAAACTATTCTTGTGATGTTTCCTTCCTTTTTATTCACTGTGGGTTGAAGAAATATATCTGGATTAGTGGAAATATAAGCAGGACGTCATCCTCATTCCAATCAGCCCACTTCAAGCTCAAACAGTGAAGAATTACAAAGCAGACAGACGACTAAATAACCTAGTTTGACCCATTTCCATTTAGATACATTATTTTACAAAGAATAACATATTTCAATCCTAAATAAGATGCTTAAGTCAAAAAATGAGCACGAAGAGCAGGACGGCAGCAGGGTCTCAGATACGAGAACATTATAGCTAAGATAAATGAACTAACATGCATTTATGGAAACAAGCACTTACAGGTTATTCATATCGCAGCAGGATTGCATATAGTTATAATCCAGTTTCATCTAAAGTAAGATTCAGTGTGGTAAATATTGACCTCAAGTACCCTCATTAAGCATTAAGAAGCGTCTTTAAACACAAGTGAATCCTATCACAGTCATTGCACATAGAAAACAACCTATTTGGCCCAAAAATAATTTTAGTAAAGTGGCCATAAAAAACAGGTGAAAGGGCAAATATCATGCGATTTTACATGGTAAACTATGTTGACCTTACTGAGGTTTAGCATACTAAATATTGACCCTGCTCAATGATGCGCCCTTAATTCGCATGTTTAGGAAATGAGAAAGCCTGCAGGAAGAACCTCAATGGAAGCAACAAATTATTAATATTCTAAGGATGGCGCATAATGTTGACGGAGAAAAATGATGATTTGCTGTTTCATACAGAAAACCCATCAGGATCTTCTGAGGCATCAATGACGCCGTTAGAAAAAAGAAGTTTTCTTAAGACTCAAAAGGACCTAATTTCCAAGAAATGCTTCATCAGACTTTTGTGATGATTCTCAAATAAAATATCACTCGCAATGTCAAACTGAACAAAACACACAGTGCAAAGATTCAGCTCATATATATATATATATAGTAAAAAATTACAGTTGTCATTGCTGGAGTTACAAGGTTTCCACAAGACATCAACGATTGACGAGTCTCTCCTCTGTGATCAATTGACTCTCGAGGGGGCATTACACTGCATTACATTCATAATCCAATTTGGCTTTGATTTGTTCGCTGTTCCGTGCGCTTCGATGGGAATAATTGTCTGTAGATGATGCTATTAGTATTGATGGTTGTAAAAGGGCGATGGTTTGAGGACTGCCGACACATTGATGGTCCAGAATAGATCCGGTCTGAAAGTGATTGTCTGATCCATTACCCTTTATGAAGGAGGAGAGCGGAGGAGATGAGGGGCACCCCTCAATAGCAAAAATCATCATCTATTTGCTGGCAGTATTCAGAGAGATCTATTTACCTTTGCTCTGGATGAGCAAGGAAGAGATCAAAAATCATCATTTGTTGATTTGGGATAAAGACACAAGACTCAGGGTGCAATGAACGAGAGCCATGACCATGATTTTCAGATTTCAGGACATTTCACAAGAAATTGGTTTTAGTGATTTGCATTAGGACAACTGTACACTGTCTTAGCATTAAAAGAGTTATCCATCTTTATTTTTTTATTTTTTATAAAAGACAAGGTTAGAAACTAGAAACTCTTTTGGCAATAAAACACTCATTACCTATTTGTTGGAACAAAAACACAGAATCCAAAACGGCCCATAATATTTTATGGGAGTGAACTTAGAGAGGAAATCTGTGATGTGATGTCACTTTAACAAAAATATCAAGGATCTGTGATCTTTACAAATTATACTTGAGAAATATTGTTCCGCATACATGTTGCATTTAGCCACACACATTTAAACATTTACAGCCACACATGCAAGACGTTCTCATATCCATAAGAACAACCAAGTTATAATTTGTGGAGAAAGGAGATAAGAAAAGAGGTGAACACACAATAATGTTTTAACAGTAAATAATAGGACTTTCTAATTATTTGGTTTCTGTCAAAATAAATAGTGACACGTGTGTCCTTTAAGTACAATGGTGTTCCCAGCTGACTCAGGGTGAAGACAGGTGACACCCTGGACAGGTCACCAGTCTATCACAGGCCTACACTTAGAGACAGACAACCAAGCACACTCACATTCACACCTATGGACAATTTAGAATCACCAATTAACCTCAACATGTTTTTGGACTGTGTGGGAGGAAGCCGGAGAACCCGGAGAGAACCCACGCTGCACGGGGAGAACATGCAAACTTCACGTAGAAAGATCCTCGGTGTCCTCACCAGGACGCGAACCGGCGACCTTCTTGCTGCGAGGCAACAGTGCTAACCACTGCTCCATCTTGCAGCTCCTAAAACAAATATATTAAATCTAATTTTAGATCATTGAGTGGTAAACATATTTGGGTATTTTGGATGGAGGAAGATTATGTGACCAACGCAGCGAGCTTTGTTGGCTCAATTACAGTTGATCATGGTCTCATAAGGATTATAGATACAGAACTTGTATCTGTGCAAAGTCAGGAATTTGTCACCAGCTTCAAAAACCTTGCTTACCCGCAGATGTAAACATAGTTTTGGCATTTTAGTACACATTTTAAACATGGCCTGGAAAGGTTTTCTCCAACTTTAAGCTGCCCACACAGTAAGACATAGCTGGTGATACAAGGTCTGTGCAGGACAGTGAAGTAATCTCAAGTGGCATCAAAGAGCTTTGCTTGCTCAAATCCCACTGATTAGTATCAGCAGTCATTAATTATGAGCGTCAGACTGGGTGATGTTCTCAGATGAAGCAGAACATGTTTGGCTGTGCAGCTCAACCCTCTAATGATGCTGGTAAACAGAAAGATAATTGTCCTTTAAGATGACTGGATAAGTCATTCTACAGGAATGTCACTGGAAGACTGAGAGACCGCAGTGCAATCACTGAACAACACAAAAACACAGGCGTGAATGGATGCATGTGCTCTCATACACCACATACAACACTTGTGCACCGTACAGCAATGCAGACAGACATGCCATCAATTTTCAGTTTAACACACATCTGCATGTACCTGGACATACTTTCGTACCTGTAAAGTCTGTGTTGACAGGAAGGGAATCACTGGGAAACTGGTAGTAACTGTTTCCTGGGAATCTGGTGCCCCTGACAACTGGACTTTGTGGGTCGGAGAGAGAGACGTCTGTCCTCTCCACCTGGAAAACATGCAGCATATAACAATATCTCATTATCAAGGATTTGCTGTATTTATGTATGTCTGTTCTTTGTTGTTCTTGAGAAACATCCATCTGATGAACGTCACACTTGGTTAGCGTATTGCTGGGGACACAAGGATGTGCAGTGTTGAGTGTTCAGTCATTTGCATGAGCGGTTTTCAAGAAACCTAAAAGGAGAAGCATTAAACGATAGCTAGGTAGAGCGTTAGGGTCGAAGCAAATCATGGACGTAACTGAATATGACAACGGTGCATCACAAAGATCACTGCCGCCAGTCAAAGCATCACGCAATCATTTGAATGATAGAGAATTGGGTTTACCCTCTCTCTCAGCAATGTTGGGTCTATAGAGGCATCAGCTAATTTGAGTATAAATGTTGACATTTTAATAACCCTACACAGTCAGGGTCGTGTGTGACATAGTTAGGATGAATAATATTAAAAAAGCTGCAAGCAGTAATACTGGAGGCCAAGCAAATGGCCAGTGCTAAATGGGAACGGCACTAGTAAATATCAATAATAATAATATATTGATACTCAATATCTATTACAGCAGAATACTCACATGTTTTAATTTTAGGGTTTTCCAATTGTGAACTGAAATTGTTAATTAAAACTGCTGCCATGAATTGTGTTTAATTAGAATATAATCACATGTTAAAGCTGAAACAGTACACTTGTTACACTGCTCAGCTTTAACTGAATATGTTCAGAATCACATCCCAAGTGCTTTATTATAGGGGTGCAACAGGTCTCTAAATTCAAAGATCGCATCCTGGCTTTTCAGTGGCAGATTGTATAATTTTTTGGATGGCTTGGATTTGAATCTTGTCGCTGCAAGTTGAGATCAAGATCTAACTGATTATTCCTTGCCAAGACAGACAAATGTCTCCAGCACTGTTTGCAAAAACGACTGAGCTGAATTTTATGAAACTTGGTGGAGAGGTAGAACGTGTACAATAAAATAATGGTGTGAATCCAAATCACTTCACTTGAAATTGTAAGCTACAGTATTGTAATGAGCAGGGGACTGCACTCTGGCTGCTCTACTGTTTACTTTAAAAGGTAACAGTAAGAGCAGCAGTAAAACTGTATTTCACACGGTCAAGGTAAAACTTTGCAGTTAATCTGTGGTCGCCAAGTGCTGAACGATTTATGGAGATCCATACAGATCATGGAGCAACTATGGGCCATTACACCTCAACTACATTCTCAAAGTTCAGGTAAAAATAAGCCACAAATGTAGAACCACTGTCCCCCCATCAACCCATCAGGACCTGAGGCGCTCTCTAAACACACATTCAGGCACATGCATATGTTGCACCAGCTTTTAATGGGTTAAATGTTGGTGGCAGCATGCTCATGTTAAGCAGGTACAATATAATACCATGTTCATCACCATAGTTTAGTGTGTTAGCATGGTACCATTTGCTAATTAGCAATAAACATGAAGTAGCCTACAGCTGAGGCTGATGGGAATGTCATTATTTTTGATGGTGCTGGATGAAAATTCAAGGGATCACCACAGAGATTACAGTTTATCCTGAGGCACCTTGAATGTGTGTAGCTCATTTCAGGGCAATTCATCCACGAGATGTTGAAACATTTCACTCAAAGCCACAAATGTCAACCTCGTGGTGGTGCTAGAAGAAAAGTCAGATGGTCACCAAAGTCATTTGACGCATTCTGAGAAAACATTCATGGTACTGGAGCCAAGACAACAGTGATAAATGACATTTAGCAAAAAGCCACACAAAAAACCCCCAATATAAAATAACGCCAACTACATATTTGATGCATAAGCCAATACTCCTACCTGATACAAAGGGTGTGGCCCATTAAGTTGAGCTGGAGGGTCCCAGTCTATCTGAATGGTGGTTTGATTTACTTGGTGTAATCGAGGTGAAGACAGTCCTGTTGGCGCTAAAAAGAGAAAGTTAAGATAAAGTAAGAGGAAAAAAAGACTGAAAGTGAACAATGTACAACAACAACTAGTATTTTGATCAGATTTCTATGTTGATTTATAAACTGTCGTAACTTTTAGATCCATGTTTTGTTTGGTGAATCTAACTAAAATGCAGACGCAGTTTAGCTACGGACTACAGCCAGTTCACTCACATTCAACACATTCAAATGCAGTTGCAGTTTTATTTATAATTTAAAAAATAAAGGTAAATAAAAGTGTCCTCCTTGACAAACATCTTTAGATTATTTCTCCCACACTGTGCATATTACAAACTGGTCCAATTCTCCTTTAACAGAGGATCAATTTCATTTCCTTCTTTCACTTTAGATGTTAAATTAAGTGCCCCTTTGAAACATACTGGAAGGTACAGGATTTGCAGTTTTGACATGTATCATAAATAAATCAGCCTGAGACTGGCTGATATGGGGAGGGAAGATATATAAGAATGGAGGGAGAAACATAGCGAGTGATGGACTGGTGTAGAGATGGGAAAGATGTGTGTGCATTAAGTGTCATTCCATCGTTGTGTTTCTGTCTACGTGTGTGAGTGTGAGCGTGTGTGTTTCAGTAATTGTCTAAATGGTCTGTGGTGGGAGTAAATTAGCTCTCGGTGACACACATGCGGACCATCTTTAGTGTGAGTTCTAATAGAGCTCTTAAAAGGGAAGTGGACAGCTTGTCTTAGGCGCCTCATCTTGCCACATCAAACCATAAATTACTGCCAATCGATAGCTTACCAGTCTATTGATATTGAGCTATGGTGACATTTAGAACATTGACTATGCCACACACACACACACACACACACGCACGCACACACATGTGTTAACATGTACTTTGCCTTAAACAGTGGTATATTGTGTGATATGTACGACATGTTCAAAAACACATTATTCTTTCTGGTATTATGGGCAGATGGTTAGAAAGTGGGCAAGTAAATCCAAATGTAGTTGGTTTAAAATGTAACAAGTTGATAAGGAATGAACTTCTAAGATGGGGAGCGGCTGCATGTTAATCTATAAGGCACCTTTAACTTCTAAACAACTAAGCTTTGCAGTTCCTGTAGATGAGACAACACAAGCTTCTTGTTGCATGACTTTGAGTGAAACCCAGTGATGACACTCTGCTCGTTTTGGGATTTGTAAAATCAACAACAACAAAAAACTAAGACACACACAAGAAAACAACTAATTAGGAGAATGTACACAATCCTTATCCTCTGCACTTCTAAATCGACTCACAAATGCCAAAAACAGTATCGTGAGGAAACAAAAATGAAGACCTACACAGTGAGGTTACGAGCAGCACTCAGATGAAGTACTGCTGATTCTAGAGTAATCTTAGTCCATCCTCAAAAAAGGAAAATATTTCACATTTACTGAATTACTATTTAGTCTTGTAAGCCAAAGGTGAAATATTTATCTGTAGCTGCCACCAGCCACCATGAGTGGAGCGGAGCACCAAACTCCAGCACTAATGACTGAGACCCGTTGACCAACTCACACTGCAGACCTTCACAAAACTTCTACCAACTCTTGGGGGGCAAAGGTGATGATTTACAGTCTGGCTTTCCCGAATACTGACACTGCAGCACAGGCATGGCAACTTATTTTTATTTAGTTGAAAAATGTTCTCAGTCTATTGCATTGTTATTTTAACTTGCAAAAACAACCTAAAAAGACAATTTAAACACAAAAGCTGCAAACTGCTTTTTAATGTTGGTCAGACAAGGGCCCTCAGCTAAATAAGTTGGCCTAATGGTCAGTAAGAGATAAAATATAGGACTTTTTTTCCTAACTCCTGAATGAAGAATTGCAATAAATCAAGAATCAATTCTAAATCAAATTACAACACGAGCAATTGAACTGTGACATTCCTGCTCCTAAAACCAGGTCCAACCTTCATTGAAGGTTGTATTTTGTTATCTCAATAGTTACCTCAGAGACTTTACACGAATCATTGTTTCAGGGTGCATCTTCCATTTCATCCAACAGATTAAAACAACCTACTGCTTTAAAAAGACGTTTTCTGACTCCTGTGTACATCTGTGGCTGATTTATGACAGAAGGACTCAAACTCTGTTGTCTGAAACTGTTGAATCGAGCAACTTACAACAACATTGCGCAATAAACACTTGAAAGAACAAGACAGAAACAGCCAGGACTGTTTTACATTAAAAATATTTAAAACATTTTAAAACTGGCAGAATTAATATGTAGCAGTTGGTGAAACTCATGAGTCTGTGTGTGTGCGGTGACAGAAAATATCCTCCTCTTCCAACATATTTTCTTTGCTTACCCAATCAGACACCACAATACTAGAAATAGCATCTAATGACAACAACTATTGTGAGTTACAGCACCCAGCATGTACTGGTCACAACCGGACAACAACCAGTTTTCTATCCACCACACTTCTATATCAGGGGGAAACGTTAAAAACTTGACATGACAGAGGGGTGTGCTTGTGCTCATGTTTGTGTTTGTGTCATAAACAACAGCCTTCCTCCTCAGTGGCGTGTGTGATTGTAATCTACCGTTGTGTATTGTTTGAATGTCATGTATTCATTTATTGCATCTACTTGTTAATTCACTGAAATGTACTTAACACTGTGACACATTCAGTTTGACGAAACCCACTTGCCTTATCATGAGAATGCTCACACACACACACACACACGCACACACACCTACACATACTCGTACACACACACACACACAAGGTTAACAGTCCACCAGAAAGGTTAATTTTAGCTGCCGACATGGTAATGAAGCAGCTAAATCATGGGCCAGCTCCCAGGAGCAATTGTGCACATGTGTTTGTGCGTGCGCGTGTGTGTGTGTGTGCGCGTATGTGAGTGTGTTTCCTGTTTTTACAGCGACTGACATGTCTTAACAGGCTCTTAGCGTACAGTTACACCACGCACATAAGCACACCACTTATTGACATGGCGATCCCTTGCCATGCATATTTCTCTTCTCAAGAAGGGCCTCAGGCCAATTATGCGTAAATCAATAAAGTTCCTGTTCTGTTGAGTGGTGTTACAGTGTGAGTGTGTATGTGTGTATGTCTCTGTGTGTGTATGTCTTGTAGAACAAGCCTTTATGGATGTAGGATACATAAAACATCACCATCAGCCCCTGATTAGCCACTCACTTTACGCCGTGATCGATAACTTTGCGCGAAGACACACACATTGAAACAATTGCAAATGCATCAACACACATGGACAGAGACCTCTTTCCTTGTGTCGTTACGTCTGTCTCAGTGTGCGCGCTAATGTTTAGTCATGTGCTTTGGTGTAACTCCAGTGGTTTCACAGATGCTGTCTGCTCACTTACAGCAGATGGTAGCTGGCTCTAATGGCCCAGCCTTATGTGTGGGAGATTTATCAGTGCATCTGTACCTCAAGTGCACCTTACCAGGAGTACTACTTAATGTGAAGATCATTTTCTCCACAAATTAAGTTTTGTTCATTTCATCTTAATAGAATAATGATTAAAAGCCAAAATTAGAGAACTTTTGGACATATTTTAGGCCAAATCACACAGAAAGCTTTCATTCAATAGTCAAGTGTGACAAGTAGAAACTGTAATCGAATTCTTACTAAAAATAGTGTTTGGAAGAGAAAAACCTCAGGACTACATGTAGACATTATGACACAGTCAACTCTGCATTTTAGAGCAAATAATGAAAATTAATCTGAACTTCTCACTTGTGAAACTCAGACTGTTTGGACAAGACAGAGTAAAATGGGAACGTCTGGTAGTATATTTGGCTCAGCAAACAGTAAAGATATGGGTTGATTTGGGTTCTATAGGCTGTAAAAAAAATCTGATCCTAAAGATAATTAAAAATTAAAAAATGAGACAAGACAAATAGAATAAAAACGCTAAACATTGCTTGGGACATGGTTGTTAGTCATTCAAAACTTACATAACTGTAGAAAATTGGCAAGAGCATGCAAAAAACATGTAAGTAAATTAAGAAAAGAAAAAAATGGCTGCAGCATTTCAGAGCTTGTATCTTTCTCATAATTACAGCTAATTACAGTTGATCAGCTATAGCCTCTTTAAAAGGGAAAAATGTTTTAATACA